GTAAAATCACAAAAATACTGAACTCCGAGGAAAATTCAAAAAGGAAAGTCCCCAATCAAATGGCAAAATCAAAAAAACAAACACATCAAACGAATGGATAACAACTGTCATATTCCTGACTTGGTATAGGCATTTTCTTATGTAGAAAATGGTGGATTGAACCTGGTTTTATGGCTAGCTAAACCTCTCACTTGTATGACAGTCGCATCAAATTCCATTAAATTGACAACGATGCATGAACAAAACAAACAGACACAATAGGTAAACATGTCAAAAATAGGGGTACAGCAGTCAACATTGTGTTATCATCTTAATCACTATAAAAACAAACAAATGTAACAAAGAAGCACAAAACGGCATACATCAAATTTAACATCCTCATTTTGCTTATATTATACGATTTTATTTATCTATGTAAAATCCAACCATAAAGGAAGGAAGGTTTTAAGTACTGGCGTAAAATCGCGCGTTTGAAAATCGCACAGGTAGACATAAAATAATTTTGTCCTTCAAAGTATGAGGGGATACATAAATAAAGACCCACGTAAAATGGATATAACAAAAAACAGACTTAACAGTAAAAGTAATACTAATAAATAAAATAAAATAATTGTGTGGTACAAAGTATGACGATTTACATAAGTACAGAGTCACGTCAAATGTATATCACAAAAAACAGACTCAACAATAAAAGTAATATTGATAAATAAAATAATTTTGTCGTTCAAAGTATGACGGGATACATAAGCACAGAGTCACGTCAAATGGATATCTCAAAAAAACAGACTTAACAGTAAAAGTAATATTAATAAAGATAAATAAAAGATTACTATAACACGTTATTAAGATGATAAACAACGTCAGTACGCAAAATCTATACTTCAAGACCATCGTGTATTATTTGTGAAGTTGATACGGAATATTTATCAACAAGTTCTTGGTACCATCCGATGAACTTTTTTAGAAAAAGGACGAGACGTTCTTTGACATACCCCTGGTTCATCAACTTTCTGCTCAGACACTGGTGACGTTTTACAAAGTCTGAGTAGGAGCTGCAAGCTCTTGAATACCGAATAAGTCGGGAAATGTATATCCCACATGCAGGTGAAGTTGGTATATTGCTACTAAGGTGGGGGAACAACATGTTATAAAGTTCTTGCGTCCGAAGCGTTTTTCTGGATTTACCTTTATCATGAACGTTCAAAGCCGAATATTTGAAAGCCAAGGATGTATAAGTACCTAAACAGTTGAAGAGTTATATAACCAAAATGGATCTAAACAATAGCCAAATCCATCTAAGGTCAACTTTGCCTGAGGGAGTTAAATCAGTCATGGCAATTCTAAATTATAAATTCATATTCAGGAGTCCACCACATTTGACAATCATTAATTATAACTAGCAGTTAGATTCTGTAAAAAAGGATCAACTGAAAAAGGGTCGGGAAATTTTGACTGCTATTTGTAAAAGATTTGATGGTTGAAGGTAAATTGACCTTTATATGTTTTTAAGTTCTGTGTATCTTTAGTGCAAAGATATTTTATAAATTAAATTAAAATATAACAGATATACACAAATTCACATAAAAATATTAATACAATTGTATAATTGCTAGGATCCGGAAACAACATGTTAACGTTTTTTCAGATATTATTAATTATTCAATTATGTTTCCAATATCTTTTTCCATTGGTATACTCTTTAATTTGTACTATTTTTATATTCTTTTTCTGAGATTCTACCTTTATCATTAATCATCTTATTTACCTATCAAATTATATTCTATTTTATCCAATGATTGAAAATCAGACTATCCCCGTTTAACTTAATATAATTATTATAAGAATAAGGAGTTGAGGTATGGTTGCCAATGAGACAACTTTCCACCAAAGTTCAAAATGAAGTGGATGTAAGCAATTATGCATGTTATGGGAAACCGTACGTACTTCAACAATGAGAAAAACCCATACCGCATAGTCATCTTTAATTGGGTCCCGACATGAAAAATATGAAACAATTAGAAAACTTACGGCCGAATTTATAACAAAACCATTTACGAAAAACAAATATGACAGACATGTACAAACGGCAACCACTGAACTACAGGCTTTTGACTTGGGGCAGGCACATAAAGAATGTGGCGGGGTTAAACAAGTTTGTGAGCTCTCAACCCTCCCCTCATCTGGGACAGTAGTGTTACAGCACAACATAAGAACAAACTATACAAATCAGTTGATACAAAGCAGAAAGAAATTGAACCAAAAAAAACAGAACGGACGTGGCAGGGTATTTATCCATCCCATACCCGTAACAACACAGCAAACGCTAAGTACAGATATGAGAGTACTCGCAGTTACTGACAGCTAGTTCACCGCGAATAACAACTAATAAAAAATCATGTCTCTAAGACTTAGATATCAATCCAAGATGTTAACCAAGATTTTAGTGTACACTCTGACAGTTTACACTGTTACAAGAGGCAGATATACATAATATACAGCTTGACAGTAGTGGTATAATAACAGAACAAAATTGAGATAAACATATATACAGGTCAATTTAATATAAGTCACCAAACACCAAAAACACGTGGTTTAAACGATCCAAACAAATACACATATCGTGACATATATATATATATATATATATATATCATATGATTAATTGGATTATAACACACAACTTAAATTAGGTAAGTACTAAACAGTTTCTTTTATCAAAAATACTTCATGATTTTTTTGCAAAAACAATGCGCATTTTGGGGGAACATCCAATATCCAATAGATTTAGTGTAAAGACGTCATTAACAGTCAGAGAAAACAGGATCTTGTGTTATGCCAAAATATAGGTATCCACAGATAGTAGTACCGTGAAAGTACATATGTGCAAAACAATGATATATATGTGTGGTATTAGTTTACTGATAACAAAATCAATAGTCATACCAATACAAATAATATTCAAAGATTTAATTACAGTGTTGCTTTTGAGAATATGTTTTTCAATACTATCACAACCTCCTTTTTTACTTAACACCCATATCCCGATATCTTCAAGTCAAATCCCTATATTATACAGCCAGTTGCCATCTATAAAACTATAATAATGTATTATTCCTTTATTCCTTTTCGAATTAACTCTTATCATCAAAACCCCCAAGGGTGACTGGGGAATAGAAGTATGGTCACCATTGGTCTTCCTCCGACCGGCAGTAAAACCCTTGCTAAAGTAGGGCGCCCGTTTGGCTGTGCGGGATGTACAAATTTGCAGCCACGTCCGGTTAGAATGGGGACGTTAAACCGATGCCTCGTGTAAAGAGAGTGCCACGCTCTTTGCACGTTAAGAACCCTTGCAACAACTTTTTGAGGGGTCCGTAGGTGACCTGTTGCAAGGCTAAATTTCTGTCCCTATCCAATATTCCCTCATTTCCCATCGCAGTCTAAATTTCGCATACCTTAACCCCAGACGCCCCTATTACAGAACCTACCTGTTGTATTTATTGTTAATTTGTCCTCGTCCTGAATATGCATATAATATTTGCCACTGGACGTTAAGCAACCAACAATCAATCAATCAAGCTAATCATCAAAGCAAGACGAGTTCAGTCGCCTTTTGAAAATATACATATGGTAAAAAAATTATTTGTATCAATTTACCAAGTATATAACACTTCAGTGGCACATAAAAAAAACTGCTAAAGAATAGACTTGAACTGATGGTTAATAAATCATTAATTACTTATGGTTATAAAGAATAGTCATCTACCACTCCTATACCATGTATATTTTTTTTTGCTGTGTCGAATATGCAAATGTAACTGTTTTCGTCATTTTTTTACTTGGTCAAAATGATGTGGGTTTTTTTTTTTTTTTTTTCCCATTTAACAAACATCAAACGTTGTTTGTTTATTTTTCATCTATTTTATAATCTAATGATATTTAAAAAAAAAACCAAACAATTGAAGGAATTGTACTAACTCAAATCGAAACGAGGCCATCAGGTTAAGCCTTTTTTGATATGTGTCATCCATAATGTAAGTCGGTGTTTAGTGTAAATGTCAAGATACCTATAGGGAAAAGGGCACACTCGATATATTTGCTGATATGACAACAAAGCATTAAAGTATACACAAAAATTGGGAACTCCACGTAAATTCAAAAAAGGATTAATAATATATAAAATCTGACAAAATTAAATGCTCGACAATTTAATCATCGAGACGAATTGAAAACAAGTGTCATGTTCCTGACTTCGTTTGAACTGGAACACCACTGTATTCATAATCGATGTGTATGTCTAAAGCTGTATACTGTGGATTCATTATTTGTCGATGGATACAAATTTTCTTGGAGTTCCTGTGTACAGGTGAAGGACAAATTTAAATGTTCTACCTAGTAAAAATGTGGTATCTCCCTAACTTATTATATCATACCATATTTGATTAGTTTGCAGACATTTGTAAATCCACGGTTTCACATATCCACAAAAATAATTGTTTTTCATAATCAACAAAAATTGGTACCCTAGAAAAGGAAAGAATCCAAAAGATGTGTTTTCCTTAGCATCTAGTTCTAGAGAACTAATATGGCAATGGGACCCAATCAGAAAAGTTAGAATTGTTAATAGAAAGAATATCATCTAAATACTTGTATGTGAAATTAACGATCTTGTTTCGTTTGTCTTCTTGCTATTACTATTTTCTGAAGGAATTCTGACACATATAAAAATAAGAAGAGATCGATAAGGTGAGGCGTACAATGTGTTATCCATAGAAATGCCTACCACCCACTACGTTAATTCTATATCCAAATACTACTTAAATGCTGTCAATGAAAAACTCCAGCATACTGATTATTTTGGTATTATCTGAGGAACATTCAATGCAACAGAAGCATTTATTTTCAAATAGAAAAGACAAAAAAGCGTTCAACTCGATTATAGATGCAGTAAAGATAGGTTGAATATTGGAATATATTAATTAAATTGAAAACAAAACATCATGACAAATGTAGCATATCCAGATTTAATTTTGTATCTCTAACATGTTTGCTTTAAATGTTCTATTTCTTTTATATGACATACTGGCAAGTAATAAATCAGGATCGTCCAATCAGTACCGCATCTATGCCTGTAAAAAAACAAAAGCTTTTAATTTTTACATGCAGTATAAATAGTGTTCTATAGCAGGTGAAAACTCATCACATATCACATGTATTGCCAGTTTTAAATGAAATCTTTATAAATCTGCAATGGTTAACTGAATTTTTTTTGTCGTAATGAATATAAAAAATGGTGAAACAGCGATCGACTACTTTTTTTGGCATGTTTCTGAAATCTTTAAAATGAAAAAAAGGGGCGAGACTATGTGCGTCGACAGGATAAGCTTCTCTTACTATGCATGCATTACAAAAATGTAAGACCTGGAATCAAATTAGACGTAATGGGTTTAACACGTACAGGTATGCATACGCAGTCTGTTCGTGGACAATCGGGGAGTTTCTGTCCTGCTGGGCATCCCCTTCTGCATTGCTTACATGGGGCTGAAAATATATTGATTTACAAAGTCAGTTACATTTTCAATCTCAATTTACATCAATTATAGTTGTTCTAACATGACTGTCACCCAGGTGGTGAAAAATATTTTAACAAATATATTTATGATGTAACATATTTGAAATTAAAATGTCAGATATTCATTTTTCATGTTTGGAAAATACTTATTATTATATCAGTTTCGCTGACAGCACTGCTTTTCTTAACCTTTACGACCAGGTGTGTTCGAAAAAATGTCATTATGTTTTATCATAACATAGAATATTTCTAAACTTATATGCCTATGCGTATTTAAATTGCTAGCAAAAGCCTGCATGTTAAAAATTAAACAATTAGATTTAAAAAAAAAGAAAGTACCAGGTGTCTTTGAACGTGTTGAAGTGCTTTGTTGAATGCTTTCGTCTATTTTTTTTTTTTCACAAATCGATCTTTTATTGTTAGCTTTTCTAGACTTGAGAGTTTCGATTGTTGACTTGAACACGACGAGTGTCAGAAGCTGGCAGGATCTGCTATTCGTTCCGATGTACTCTCAGTGTTTTGATTCGTTGTTGTTGCCTATTATTTAGTTTTATTAAGTGTTGTGTAGACTGGGTTTTTTTTTTTGCTTTTCGTCGGTTCCCTTTTTTAGCCATGATTTTCTTGGCCACTTTTGTTGGGTTTTTTTTCTTCTGTTAAACTCTCTTGACGATACCGTTAACCAATTGCAACACAAGGCGATTCAATACTGACCTTTAAAAAACGTATATATTTGGAACAAATCAGGGAAAAAAAAATATCAACTTATATAAAACCATATTTTGCAGATCTAATTCCCCTACCTGCATGAACAAAATGCCTTGTTAAGACATGGTTCGTTGAATATTGATCCCCTATCTTCGTTGACAAAATTGATTTGGTTAAATCTTCATTATACATGAATCTAGTGTGAATTATTACAATTTAACAAAACTTATAACATAGATTTAAACCCTACCTCGTTCAAACAAATTGTTTCTTTTGCCTGCAACTGAAATAGAAAAGAAATCGAAACTTTTAAAACAGCTTAGGAATTATACTACTACTAATGTAACAGTACCTAGTACAGTGCTCATTGTACCCAAATTCTGCCTATTTTACCCAAAAAACGACGGAAATCTTTTAGGTTTTCTTAGTGACAAATCATTTCTAAAGTTTAGCATATCTCTTTTTGCACGTCTTTTAACATAGTTGAATATACTTAAGTACAACATACAGTCACATTATATATCAATAGATAAAGTGTACAGTGAAACCAAATAAAATTTCCGGAAACGAAGAATGTGACGTCGACATAAATTGACTTTTCACAATGAGCAATTAAAATATGTCATGATGACTCCTTTCTTACAAAATGTATATTAAACATGGACTTGTGTCAAATTCTTTCAAAAATGCAGAGAAAAAGTCAGTTGTTTAATTGACGGATGTGTTTTCAAGCTTTAGTGCGATTTAGGTACTCCTCAAACAAAATACTGGATCATTTAGCGGTCGGTTCAAACTCAATTTTCTACGATTCAGTATGGATTCGAAATCAGGTTTGTGAACTATATAATAAATAAGGATACATCTACAAAATAAACGCAGAATCGGTCCGTTATATTGACAGAATTGGGCGAGCAACCTTAACAGACATGATAGGTTGATGTGACAATAATTGGGATCCAGCAACAAAAACTGTGTAAACAAACATTACAAACATACATCATAACTGACCACAAATTTCAAACAAACATACAAGTAAAACTAACATAGACGCCAACAGAAAAGGTGTTGTAGCAGATAGTAAAATTTTAACAATGACGTATTTTCAATGACGTCAACAACAAAACTTTTTCTTGTTGATAGTAAATAGGCAAGGGCGCCGATAAAAAAACGTTGCTGTCGTTGATAGTACATACAGTATATTGTATACAGTTTTTCGATAAAGTAAAATGTTTTAGGCATATGACCGAGTGTAAATGAACCCAATGAGTATACGCTTACCTGGTACGCAGTCACAAACTACAGTATTTGGGTCGTCTTCAGGTGTACAATCACGGATTCTCTGACCGGCTGGGCATCCCCTTCTGCATTGCTTACATGGTGCTTAAAATATATTGAATTCAAAGACATGGACATAACTTTGCAACGAATAAACTAAATATACTATGTACCATTTATGGTTGTTTTAACACGACTGCCTCCTAGATGGTCAAAGATATTTAAACAACATGTTAATATTTATGATGTAATATATACATTAAACTGTCTGCCGCAAATACCATTACGTTTCAGATAATCATTTGCAGCTTATTCATCATAACATCACGTTAATAGTAGTTGTGTTGCCAACACTGCTTTTCTTGTCCTTTAACACGAAAAGGGGTGTTTATAAATTTCAATGTATTTTAGAATGAGATCAAACATTTCTGAAGTAACATTTCTACGCTTATCTAAATTTTCTTGTAAAAACTTGCATGTTGAATATTTTTTATTTAGGCTTAGAATAAGATAAAAGATAAGCTTTTCCGATGACTATGGTTTGTATTTTCGTTTTTGATTTACTTTTCGGTCTTGTATTGTCTGTTTTTATCGACTAATGAAATTTAGATTGTCTCATTGGACACGACGAATGTCACAAGTTGATAGGATCTGCTAAATCTTCCGCGGCATTCCCGGTTTTTGATTTGGTTCGTGTTGCTTAGTCTTTAGTTTTAATTTTGTGTGGTGTAGACTTTTTTTGGGGGGCTTTTCATCGTTTGTCGTATTTTGCAATGACTTTCTTTGCCTCTTTATGTAATTTGTCTATCCTATTAAGTTTATTTAGATGGACGATATCGTTAACCGATTATAATACAGGGCGATTCAATACTTACATAAACAAAGTATATACATGTATTCACAACAAATTGAATAATAGTATCAACTAAATATATAAAACAATAGTTTGCAGATCTAATTCCCCTAACCGTTTAGCAACATGTCTCTTTCGGACATTCTCTTTTGAATATTGATCCCCAGTCTCCGTTTACAAAATTGATTTGGTGAAATATGCATGATTCATGAATCTAGTTTGAATAACTACAATTTCACAAAATATATAACCCAGATTCTAAACTTTACCTCGTTCAAACAAGTTGTTTCTTTTGCCCTCAACTGAAATAAAAAAAAACAAAATTTAACAAAATCTGAACTTTGAAAACAACTTACGATATATACTAACGTAACGGTATCCGAACTGCACCTAGTAACGAAATTTGTACTTATTTTACCAAAAAGCGACATAAATCTTAAAGGTTTTCTTAGAAACCAAACATTTCTAAATTATATCATTTCTCATTATGTACAGTAGACCATAAGGTCACATATATATCAATACATGAAGTATCCAGTGAAAAAAAACAAATGAATGGAAACGTCGAATGTAACGTCCAAAAAAAGTCGTCTTTCAACAATTTACAATTAAAATATGTCATGGTCATTTATGTCTTAAAAAATGCATATTAATCATGGACTTGTGTCAAATCAAGTTTGGGGACCTATATAATAAATGAGGAAAATGAAAAGAACTTATAAGGAGAAATTTTGTCTGATTCTGGAAAAAAAAAGGTATAAAAACTGTCAAAATGTCTGCAATTTGAATACACTTACGTTACAGAAATTATACATTCACTTTACAAAACAAAAACAGAATTTGGGAATAAGATTGTACATTATTTGACACAGACTGTTGACACAAACATATACGTCATTTGAAAAGTGCACAAAAACGTACACAGACAAGATTGCTACGCCGTACCATAATGTCCTCCGCGCTTTATTAATGAGGAATTTAATGGCTTTTCACAATATGTCATTGTAGTACGATAGTTATGTACAATGTAATGATAGAAAGTCGTCTCATAACTGCCATCTAATTGGTCAACTTAAACTTATTGTATAATATGGTCTGCTACAAATGATTACAGACAATCGTACCAAGTATGCGAGCTTGTTGGTTAATGGTATCATATGAGTTGTGTTTACCAGGTGACACTATTACAATAATACACAAAGTCAGTCCAAGGACTCCTTCTCCACAATCGAAGGTACTGGGGGACAAAAATGATATTACTAGTATGTTGCTTTCAATCTGTTGTTAATGTTTGACTTTAGGCATATGATCAAGTGTTAATGAATCCAATTAGTATACGCTTACCTGGTACGCAGTCACAAACCACTGTATTTGGGTCGTCTTCAGGCGTACAATCCCGGATTCTCTGTCCGGCTGGGCATCCCTTTCTGCATTGCTTACATGGTGCTGAAAATATATCAAATTTAGAGACATGGACATTCAAACGTATAACATTGTAACGAATGGACCGTTTAAATCTAATTTATACCATTTATAGTTGCTTTAATTTGACTGTCACCCAGGTGGTAAAAGACACTTATTGTAAAATATATATTCTAACATGACGTTCTTCAAACGCTTTGAGTACACACCCGTGGTTAAATATGAATATATTGTTTGGGCTGTTTCGATCGTACTCCCGCGTCATATGCTTTTTTATGAATGAGCTACCCGACGTCATAGAACGATGAGGAAAGAATATAAGCATTTTACGGGAAAATACACGCTTGTGAAACCGAAAATCATCACAACAAGGAAAGGCAAACAAACGATGCTAAAATGTGTTATATAAACCATTTTTTATTTACATATAAGACATATAAATACAATTATCATTTAGATTCATCCAAACCTATCTAAATATGTCATTGTAAATAATTTAAGCATGCCATTTATTCAGTTTGCTCCGTTCTTTTACGTCAATTTAATAGTGCGTTTATTTATGGGAACGGCAAATAATGCCTTCACCTAGAGCGTTTCGATCCAAAAGAATTGCCGTATTTGTCCTATTAGAAACGAAATAATTCATGGGGGCTTGAATATATCGTGATTTTACCACGGGTTGACCCTTTATGCCGACAGTTTACCCCTCGCTATCGCTCAAGGTAAAATATTTGTCATAAAGGGCCAACCCGTGGTAAAATCACGATATATTCAATTCCCCATGAATTATTTCTTCATTAAACTGTCTGCCACGAAAATCACTACAGTTTATATATTTATTTGTAACTTATTCATCTTGAAATAACGTTATTTTTAGTGTTGTTGACAGCACTGCTTTTTCTTGTCCTGTGTGACAAAGGGTATTTCATAAAAAAGTCATTATGTTTTATCATGAGACAGAATGTGTCTTTACTAACATGTCTATGCGTATTTTAATTGCTAACAAAAGCCTGCATTTTGCAATTTTAAAATTTAGATTTAGAATATGAGGAAGTATCAGTTTTTAATAAGGTGCTTCGTTGACTGTTGTTGTTTTTTTTTTTCTTTCGTCCTTCATTCATTCATATTTCAGTCGAGTTGCTTGTTTTTCATCAACTTATAAATTTTGTTTTTTCACTTAGACACGACGAGTGTCACAATCATAAGGATCTGTTAATCCTTTCAGGGCACTCATTTTTTTTTTTTTTTTTTTTTTTTGGTTCGTGCTGCTAAGTCTTCAGTTTTTATTTTGTGCCGTGTAAATTGTTGTTCTTGGCTTTTCGTCGTTTTTGTTTTTTGCCATCATTTTCTTGCCCGTTTTTATTTTTCTCTTTTAATTTAACTTTATGGAGATGGACGATATCGTTAACCGATTGCAACAAAGGGCCCTTCAATAATTAAATTTAAAATGTATATATTTAAAACAAATTGGTAAATATCAACTTACTGTAAAAAACCATAATTTCCATAATTAATTTCCCTTCCCACTTTAACAAAATGAGTCGTTCGGATTTTGTCCTTTGAACAGATACCTATCTCCGATGACATAGTTTGATTTGATGATATATGCAGGGTACACGTATCTAATGTGAAAGAACTCAATTTAACAAGACATATAATCTAAATTCTCAACCTTACCTCGTTCAAACAAGTTGTTTCTTTTACCTTCAACTGAAATAGAAAAAAGATTTAACAAATCTGCATTTTGAAAATAACTTATGTTCAAATGTTCCAAAATGTGGAGAAGAAAAGTCAATTATTCGATTTAACGGATGTGTAGTTAAGCTTGTATGCAATTAAGGTACTCCTCATCACAATATTCAATCGTTTGGCGGTCGGTTCAAACTCAATTTTCTACGATTAAGTGTGGACTCGAAATCAAGTTTGTGGAACTATATAATAAATAACGTAACATATACAAAATGAACGCAGAATGATAATTCTTGTTTGTTTCTAAAATAAACGACGATGAACAATTTTAAGAATAGGTGCACTTTGGATACCTCACGTTACAGCAAATATATAGTAACATTGCAAACAAATACAGAATTTGGAAAAAAAAGATCATAAACTATTTGACACAGACACTTAACACTTAACACATAGATATTTGTCATTTCAGTATATCATTAAAAAAGAGGTTGAAAATACAACAGGAACATGCTACATTTAACTATGTAAACAAAAACAGAATAAGCGGGAAAACGATCCCAAACTATTTTACAGAGACGAGACTGTTTACACGTTGTCTGAGTAACACAAATTTACATCGATATCAGAGTCAGCGAACAATTTGGACATGTAAAATAGAGGCGGAAGATACCAAAGGGTCTTTACAAAAAAAAAATTTGAAGAGAAACTAACATCACTCTGATAACAAATGAAATACGACAAAAAAAACAAGTCCACAGAACTGTAGATAGGCAAGATTGTTACGCAGTTGCGAATGTCCTTCGCGCTGTGTAAATAAAGAATTTTAATGGCGTGTCACAATGTGCCGGTGTAATAAGATAGTAGCATAATGTTAAAAAGTCCAATAACGACAATAAAAATGGTAAAAGACGTATCCGTATAATATAATCAAATGCAAATGATTGCAAACAATCCTACCAAGTATGAGACATTTTAGCAAATGCTCTCAAGGAGTTATATTTACAAAGTGACACTATTACCTCTTTTAAAATAAAAGTGGTACTTTATAGAAACACACAGGATGGCAAACCTAAGCATCAAGCGTTCAAGAAAGCTTTCTGTAAAATGATCGCAGAGGAATTACGTTCACAAATATTTTGTCACAATAATCGAAAGGATACTAAGAGTCAAAAGTCCAATAACGCCTGTAAAAATAGTCGAATCAAAATGACGATACAATATGATCAACTTATAAAGCAGCAAATAATCCATCAAAGCATGGGAACTTTTTGTAAATAAGACTAAGAGAAATTTCGTTATTAAGGTGTCATTGTTATAATGAAACAAAATGGTTAAAGTCTTATTACTCCCGTATTATTGTCAAATAAAACGGACGATTAAGAGAATATGACGACAAATGGTCCTTCTTAGTATGAAAGGTTAGTTTTGAACTGTCTCTGAGAATGGATGTGTTTCAGACGGACGGACAGACTGAGACCATTACCAAAGACGCGGAATGAATAAATTGCACGCCTGCTGCTTTCCTTGGATGTGGCATCCGTTTCTCGTGCTCCCTTTTCAATTTCAAATTTGCAGGGGACAAAACTAACATTACTTGTTTGCTTGTTTCAATCTGGTGTTACTGTTTTAGTTTTGGGATCTGACTGCATGTGAATGAACCCCATGAATAAACGCTCACCTGGTACGCAGTCACAAACCACATTTGAACCGTCTTCAGGTGTACAATCTCGGATTCTCTGTCCGGCTGGGCATCCCCTTCTGCATTTGTTACATGGTGCTAAAAATAAAATTTAGTAAACCATGCGTTGTCGTTTTATACCTATACGTGCTGTAACACTTGATAGATTGAAACAAAATTGGATGAAATATATCCAAAGTTTGTTCGTAAAACAATATTTCAACTTGTCACATGCTCCTCCCGTCGTCTTTTCCTAACTTCGTACATTTCAGAATGCAATTTATCACCGGAGAATACCCTTTCCTTCACCTATGTTCACTATCAGTTTAAGTGTTTTTAGGACTGCTAAATTTTTGTTTTGTGCTAAGGGTTTTCTAGTTTTATTTGGGTGTACGGTTTAAAGTTTGCCCTCTTACTTTCTTCTTCTTTTTTTATCAGATACGAATGTATTATGCCTAATTAACGATGAGGACTATGTTAACCATTCAAGATAATCTAATATAATTTAAAGTTGTTAAATAGGGATGTGTATTAAGCCAAAATAACGATTTTTATTTCGGGTTCGATTTTGTTGACGTTTTGTGATGGTTGATCTCATTACGTCATTGTCCCTTGAGTTCTGCTCCTCTGCGCTTCTCCTTGCTTAAAACCAAAATGGGTCAGAACCGTTGAATTTTAAATTAACATCATGTAAGAAAACACATAACCATGACTTCCAACCTACCTCGTTCAAAAAGACCGTCTCTTTTGTTACCTGAAATAAGAAACAGAACTCATCTTGATTTGTAAAAACAATAATGGATTATATAATTGCAATCTGAAAACATATCATAGCTTTGTAAACATAGATTCACAGGATCTTTGATTGTGGAGATATCTTTCTACTTATAGAAAGGGGAGACTTCTGTTCAAAAGATACTTTTATTCACTCATTTTGTTTACATTAAATACTCCCTAGTACCAGTATTTGAAATCTATAACATCGAGTTTCAGTAAGTTTATATTTTTAGTACCAGTATAATGGCATACTGTATGATTCTTCGGAATTTTCGGTTTTTAAGCTCTTCGTAGTTGACTATGCCTTCAAACTGTTTTTATTCGAGCGCCACTGATGAGTCTGAGAAAAATGAAACGTACCAAAGTATAAGCCAGTTATCTTTGATGACTTTTTACTTGTATCTTGTTTTCTTACCCTTCTCGGGCACCTGACATCACGCCAAATTTTGTTTTAGGTGGATCGAATTGTTCAGTTTTTAGTTTTCCGTATGGTGCTTTTTAATTTGTTTGTCTTTGTGCCAACTGTCGTGTTTTTCCATAGCGTTGTCTGTCCCCTAAGTATCTTCCACCCTTTATTTATTATTCTGTTCGAATAAAAAATGATGAATTAAAGTTCCATGCTAATACGACAATCCAACACAAACAATAATCTCGTGATTTCCTCGAAATCGGTACATTGGTCGAATCTGTGTTCAGCTTTCTGTCTTAAATCTTTTGTTGTAGAGTATCGTTCGAATTGGAGCTATAACTTTTAGAGGTTTGTGTTTTTACATATAAAACATAGAAACAACGGAAATATGTATTTAAGTTATTAAACGTTTGTATTAAATTTTGGACTTTCAAAAATGTTGACCTCGAGCATCACTGAAGAGATACAAATAGTCTGGAATTTTATTGATCTATTCAATAACAAAATAAATATTTTGATGAATACGATCGTTAACACACATATATATTTACTTAATATGAGTATTCTAACAATATGACTCAAATACATATAGTACACGTTAAATTAATGAAGTTCCAATAACTTTACATATGTTCATACAATAAAATGTTATTCAGCAATATGATAAGCTGAAGACATTTTTGAAACAATATCGCATTTTCTACTTTTTAGGTAGAATTTTGTCTTGTAGGACATCTCAAACCTCATATATTGATGTTAATCTAAGAGGCAAAAACATAGCATTACTTCTTAAAAAAATGTTATTTGGTCAAGAAGGAATTTCGTTATTTACATCTGGCATAACTACTCAAAACTTTCATAAATACGGTTGTAGGCCATCTTTGTTACATATTCAGTAAACCGCCACAATGTTGTTACACGCGATACTAATATTGTAAATTTTAATAGATTTGAACACATAGTTGAATCGGCTCTGTTGAGGAAAATAAATTCAATGGAAATAAGTGCTACATCTATCCAATGCACGTCTTCATTTTAAAATGTATGAAGGGAGTGAATGATTTTGTTCTTTTGTTGTGGGGCCTCGTTGGCCGAGTGGTCTAAGTAGTCGAACTACTGTATCACTAGCCTGTCAACACTGAGGTTGTGAGTTTGAATCCAGCACGTGGCAGGCGCGCTCGACTCAAATCTTAGTTGTCAGTTTTCCTACCGAAGGTCGGTGGTTCTTTCCGGGTACTCCGGCTTCCTCCACCAATAATACCTGACCGCCACGAAATAGCACAATAGTGTTGAGAGTTGCGTTAAGCACCAATCAATCAATCAATCTTTTGTTGTGGCGTGAGTTTGTTAAATTAAAGGGAATAGTTACTGTAGTTTATTAATGTTCAAATCAGATGAATCCATTAAGACGTAATTCAAGCTAAAATAAATCCCCACTGTTTAAAGTAAAGAGTGGGGACAGGGGTTATGTACCGACGAACATGATCCTACGATATTCTGTATGTGCCTGTCCGAACATATCGAAACATATCGGAACTTGTGACGCGGGAATACTAATAATGATGAACACATTGGTCCATACCTTTTGAATGCAGTTTGGATAATACAAATCGTTTGAAACATCAACAAAGAATGCTGCATATAGCAGAGAGACAAAAAGAGAAGAAAAAAGTATGTAAGTTCTTTCGTAGGATATGACGATCAATTTTCCTTTCTTCTTACATTGCTCCTTAATCAAACAGGCGACATTTTGAAATAAACCTTAAAAGTTGCATAACTTTGGTCTTTTTGGTTAGATAAAAAATTGTAGTCCGTTCGAATATCTGTATACCATATGTATGAAAATGACATATTCGTGCGATATGAATATAAAATTGTTGTTGAACCAACATTTTATTCAGACTTTGGGACGCCCAGTAATTTTCCGAACTTCACGTAATCAATGCCATGTAGAAGCCGTTAACCTTAATTTTAAAAGCTAAAAGTTTCAACTATAAACATCAACCGTCCGTTCTTTACAGGTAGGCGAATACTATAAGCAATGACTCTGTATTAAAAACTTTAATCTCTTTTTCTTAGATATGTTTGATAGTTATATTTCATAAATACTTTGAGCTATCAATATCTGTAGGAGTTTTACGGTTTCTTTCAAATATTAATAAATACGTCATGATACTGTTTAAAGCTTAAAATACGCACTTGAGGCTATCATATGCTATTCATTTAAGCAAACACTGAAAAACTTTTTTAAATGGTCCTTATGGAAAGTGCTGTAGGGAATATGGTTCCAGTTTAGAAAAAAAAGGACATAGTATGAAATATCCCCGGAAAAATTACCCTGAGTTAAAATGTCGTGCAAAATTACATTCGTCTGAAATGCCCTGGGGAAAGTAACCTTTTTTTAAATATCACGTAATCAACAAATCATGATTTGAAAGTCTCAAATTTCAAACTATAAACCACAATTGTTCGTGCTTTACATGACGGCAAATACTATAAGCAATTACCCTGTATTATAAACTTTTCATAATAACTTTCAACTCTCTTTTTACGCAATATATGGGCTTCAGTTTACATTTCAATAATTCACAAAAACTAACCATCTTTTACGCATACTGTGCAACTTGGACATCCACCTTCCATTTTTGGTGAAGATCCCTCACCACATTCCAGAAAACAAGCAACACATCCTCCTAACGCTCGGTATAAAGATAATGACAAATATAATACCTAACCATGTTAAAATGAGCATAGTCCATGGCATGAAATAATTAGTTCTTAATTTTGATATGTTACTTATATATTACACCTAGAATGTACAAACTTGTTTTCAATCTGATTAAATTACAGATCATGTTTCAACGCTTTGCATATAAGGATTATTATTCATTTTCGGTAGAAACGTTAATAGGATATACACCAAATTTATTTTTTTGATGGCACTGCCTCTGTCTGTTTTTATTAAGTCGTTATACAAGGTCGTTACATGTTGTATAGTTTTGAATATACGTCTTTAAATGGCTTATTTTAATGTGTTCTAACACCTGATTACAAATAAGGGTTACATTTTCAAAATCTTTTAATAATTATTGGTCCGTAGATTGTATCCTGAGTTTTAGCATGCTTCAAACATTCAATAATTAAAAAGAAGTTATGAAAAAATTAACTACAATTTAGATGATTTCTTACAGGGAAAAAAAATAAATACGAACTTTCTGGACCGTTTTATTGTTATGGTGAAGATATTAACCAAAAATGAATACTCCAAGTGATCCAGAGCTAGAAGGCATTTATAGCACGTATAAGGTTAAGTCCTATAAAGGTGGTACCAAACACTTTGACTTAAACTAATTTGGCTCGTTTAATTTTCATACAATTTTGACAAATAATTTACTTTGACCCTTTGACAAAAATACAAAAAATTCAAAAACTTTGAACCACACACACTTTATCGGAAAAAAATTCATTTGATATATAGCAGTTTGGCAAACACTAATTTTGATCATTGAGAAGCTTAATATTTCCTAAACAATAGAACGTGATTAAAACGTTCATCTGTTTTTTACAAAGTTATCTCCCTGTAGTGTTATGTACCACCTTAAATTCATGTATATTTGCAGTTTCAATCATTATGTGCGAGAATGAATACTAGATATACATTAAACAGCTATCCCATCCAGACATTAATGCGATTTATACATGTATAACAAATATGAAGATGTATTTATCAAGAAAGACTACATTTTTTCTATACATTTGCATTCTAATTTATTAGATACACAAATGACATACTAAAGCTTACCATCTCTTTTAACTGCAAAAAAAAATCAGAAACGGTATTAACTTATCAAACCATGAAACCAAATACAGGCAAGTCACATTGTTCCCTTCTGTACCGTTAAAAAATTCAGATATCAGGGATATCAAGGATTTAAAACAAGTATTTACCAGGTTAAGTTCTTTTCACTGCCAAAAATAACTATATTAACCGCATTGATAAATTCTAACCTTTAAATCGAAAACAGACTTGTCAATATCTACCTCACCCTACCGTTTAAAAAAATTAGATATCAGGGACTGTTGCGAATATATAGAATAAAATTCCCTTTAATTTCATTCACTTTGTTATAATCCAAAAACGGTTAAACAATATACAGGAATTTAAATTCAAGGGAGTATAAATGACATACATCAAAGAATTTACAATAAAAAATGAAAACAACACGTTATAAATTCAATGCGTCCGAAGCAATTTTATTGGTTAACCTTCATCAGGAACGCTCAAAGCCGAATATTTGAAAACCAAAGATATATAAGTACCGAAACAGTTGAAGATAATAAATGAACTCATATCCACCAAATAATACAAAGTTGTTCCACGCTTACATTAGCTATTGAAAACTGTTCGAATACAATATTGCATTGAAGGATAACCTCTCTTTCTGACACAGAACTCGTTGCATTACACTGGATTGACTTTCAATTACTTTGTAGTATTTATTGGAATGTTGACAAAATCTATTAAACATTCCGTTTTGAGCCATCACCAGCTTGAGTTTTTAATTTTGTAAATTATTAGTAAATACGCACACAAAATTCTCATATGCTGTCAATTTAATCAAATATTGGCTTACCCTTGTGTAAAAATTACCCTTGTGTGGAATGACCCGGGGGAAATTGCCCTCGTGTGGAAAGATTCTGTTTATAATTACACAAGACTTACCATTGTTTTCGCATTCTGTGCAGCTTGGACATCCATTTACCATTTTTTGTGAAGATCCCTCTCCACATTCCAGATAACAAGCAGGACATGCTACTACAAAAATAAAATAGAAAATGGATAAAGCATGCATTTCCTTGACAAATGCTGTAAACTTTAACATGCTGTGTCCTTTCATGAAATAAATTGCGCCTTGACTTAAAAATAACAATTGTGTTTTACTGCAAATGGGAGCATAGGTACATGTACTTGTACATAATACATATAAAGCAAGGACATATGCCTGCTGTTCTTATATTTAAAGAATCCATGAGATAATTTACCACATGATCACTACAAAGACCTCATTGTTGGTACAAAATCTATCGTTTTGTTTTCCTCGACAAACTTTGGATAACAACATAATTATTACAAGTTTGTATAATGTTTACATATGCATTTACAGTTTCATATTTTGATAATGTTCTACTTCGACAATATTTTCTGATCTTACCGGTATTCTAAGTATGTGTCCAGTACATTACATGTGCATGTACATGTTTTTGACCATATGAGTATTTGGACCATACGCGTATGGTCATGACCATATGTGTATATACTCATATGGTCCGACCAAACGCGTATGGTCCGGGTAATTAACTGATGATTAACGTTGAAAAGGTGTCACATAGTTAAGTGTTTCTTAAAATGAAATTTGACTTATTCAGTCATATGGTATCCAATGCTACATGATAAATGAAACAATGTGAACTTTACTTACAATTAAGAATGATTGTGTATGTTAGATTATAATTTCTTAGATATTTCAAATTGTTTTTAGTTATTTTTAAAATGTGTTCTTGCTCCTACTCATACGATCTTACAATAACTTTAAGATCGTATATAATTAGGTGCAAGAAGACATCAATTAAATGAAAATAAGTAGAAATTAAAAGAAATTTTGTTTCTGGAATAATAATTTAAACACCAAGAAAAAGAACATGTCTCAAAATAGGTACATGTCTCAAACGACTGTGGTTTCACTTACGGACGAAAAAGTCGACAGCCAGGAGAAAGACGCTTTAAAGTGATGCTAGCGAAGATAAAATAAAAGATACACCTAAATTCTGACAATATATGAAAAAGATAAAGAAATTTAATTAGTAACGTGTGCCGTTTTTGGTTCGGAGAATGAGCTGTGTGTTCTTGCGAAAGCTAGAACTTATTCGAAAAATACCTATATGGTCTAAATACTCATATGGTCCGACCCGTTAATAACCAAACGAGTATAATACTCATATGGTCCGGAACATACACAATGGTTTTCAATCTCATTAGAATACAGAACATGTGTCCTCGCTTTGCTTACGATGATTATTATTCATTTCGGCAGATGCGTAAATAGGACATACACTAAATTGAGGTTTTTGTTGGCGCTGTCTCTCTGTGTATTAATTAGGCGTTATGTGTACTCTAAAAAGTGTGGCTACAATAATTTTCCATAACACCTTATTTCAAATAAAGGGTGAAAAATGCAAAATTGTTTGATAATTATAGATTAGAAAATGGTATTCTTAGTTTGCGATTAGCATGCTTTATACTTCTAATATTTCAAAGGTAAATAAGAAAAATGAAAATTAACCTTTGAAGATCTCCAAAGAAAGTTGAAAATCGTACTCTCAGGTTTGTCTGGTTCCTGTTCTGAACATGTTAACCAAATATGAATATTCCAAGTGATCCTGTGAGGGCAGTTATTACAAGTCTAGGTTTAGTATTATTAAGTTCGTATTTATAAGAAGTTACAATAAGTATCTGCGAGAATACATAGAAGATGTAAATATAACAGCCTCATAATCCAGACCCTCATAATATATATAGAATTACATAACATGACTGTTTCATTAGAATCCGTAATTTTGATTGGCTAACAAAGGACTCCAATATCGTGTTATTTCTGTATAAAATTCAACAGCTATGACTGCGCGTACTATCTATGACGATGTTTAAACAGTGCATAGAAAACAACAAACAAAAAGCTTGCTACAACCCTAGTTTCATCAATGAAAATGTAATTATAAGAATTGAATGATTCTTTTTGTAATTTTATATGTTTGTAAAAGCGTTTATATTGCGCACATTTTTAGTATGAAGTGCTTCCCCGCTTCATATAAAATGTGATTTGGTCAACGCTTCTACACCCCAATAAATTTATAAAAAGAACCATTCAATTCTTAAATAAATATATATGTACATAATATAAATATGTGTATCAAATAAAATGATATATTTCCCAAGATAGACATCATTTTCTGTGCAAACTAATTTACTAAATACATAAATAAGATAATTATGCTTACCAGGAGGTGAAGTTCTTTTCGCTGCAAAAATTAAAATAGTAACTGAATTGAAATATTCACACCTTTAGACCGCGTACATACAAGTTAAGTTATACATTTCAAAAATGGCCTTTGTGTGAAATGACCTAAAAAACATTACCCTTGTGTAATATACCTCGAGGGAAATTGCCTATTTTCGAAATGGTTATGTTTATAATTAAATTTCACAAATATTTACCATCTTTTTCGCATACTGTGCAGCTTGGACAACCATTTACCATTTTTGGAGAAGATCCTTCTCCACGTTCCAGATGGCACATAGGACATGCTACTACAATAACAAAATACAAAATGGATACTACATTCATCTCCCTGATGTCTGCGACAACATTGTGCATCTTGTATTTTATGTAAAATAAATTGTGTATACTGCATATTAAAACATAGCTACAATTAAGATTGCAGATTAAAAAAAAAGGAAATATGTTTGCAGTTCTTGTATTTATGGAATCTGTTCCATGATTTACACACTGATTTCTTAAAAGACCAAGATGTTAGTACAAAATCTATAATTGTGTTTTCTTCTACAAACTTCGGATTATGAACATAATTATAATATTTTTGTATAATGTCTACATATGCATTTGAAGTTTCGTATTCTAGATGCTCAAATTGACAATATGTTTTCGGATCTAACCGCAAATTTATTAATGAATTCGATATCTTACACAAAACATGTCCACAATGGATTTCAATCTGATGAGAGTAAATATCCGGTGTCCATGGTTTGCTTACAAATGATAAAAAAACACCACTTTTTGGTAATTATAACATTGGGCACTTAAATTTCAATCTACAGTTTTGAAGATGTGTATGTTAACGACAAAAAAAACCGCCGATCCCGTTATGCATTTAACACAAAAAGTAAAACGGAGCATTGCCATTAGCATTATCAATTTCAACAAGAAATGATTGTAACAGGATGCTGTTACGAAGTCTCCCAAACGAAGCTCCCATAATTCGTAATTCCCAGGGTCGCCTGACATTGGGCAACGTCCAGTGAAAATTGGTTTGGTCCAGTAAAGTTATATGCATTAGTGATGCCTGGGGACTAACCTTGTATATCATTCAAATCATCTTGGCATGACAAACCAGAATATATATGGTTTAGGGGTGGGGATCTCAACCATTTACAAGATACTAGAATATTGGGGGTGGGGAGGAACCCCTGGGGACTGGCCCTATACGTCATTCAAATGTTCATTACATGACGAACAGGAATATATATGGTTTAGGGGTGGCGATCTCAACCATTTACAAGATATTAGAACATTGGGGGTGGGGGGAACCCCTGGGGACTGACCATATACGTCATTCAAATGTTCGAGACATGACAAATAGGAATATATATGGTTTAGGGGTGGGGATCTCAACCATTTACAAGATATTAGAACTTTCTCAAATGGCAGGGGGTCGGGATGACCCCTGGGGACTTACCCTGTCTATCATTCAAACCATCTTCGCATGACAAACCAGAATATATATGGTTTAGGGGTGGGGATCTTGACCACTTAGAAGATATTAGAACTTTCTTAAATGGCAGGGGGTGGGGGTGACCCCTGGAGACTAATCCTGTATTTCATTTGATGTGCTTTATCATGACAAACCAGAATATATATGGTTTAGGGGTGGGGATCTCGACCATTTACAAGATATTAGAACTTTCTCAAATGGCAAGGGGTGGCGGTGACCACTGGGGACTAACCCTGTATAACATTTGATGTGCTTTATCATGACAAACCAGAATATATATGGTTTAGGAGTGGGGATCTCGACCATTTACAAGATATTAGAACTTTCTCAAATGGCAGGGGGTCGGGATGACCCCTGGGGACTTACCCTGTATATCATTCAAACCATCTTAGCATAACAAACCAGAATATATATGGTTTAGGGGTGGGGATCTTGACCACTTAGAAGATATTAGAACTTTCTTAAATGGCAGGGGGTGGGGGTAACCCCTGGGGACTAACCCTGTATTTCATTTGATGTGCTTTATCATGACAAACCAGAATATATATGGTTTAGGGGTGGGGATCTCGACCATTTACAAGATATTAGAACTTTCTCAAATGGCAGGGGATCGGGATGACCCCTGGGGACTAACCATGTATATCATTCAAACCATCTTAGCATGACAAACCAGAATATATATGGTTTAGGGGTGGGGATCTTGACCACTTAGAAGATATTAGAACTTTCTTCAATGGCAGGGGGTGGGGGTGACCCCTGGGGACTTACCCTGTATAACATTTGATGTGCTTTATCATGACAAACCAGAATATATATGGTTAAGGGGTGGGGATCTCGATCATTTACAAGATATTAGAACTTTCTCAAATGGCAGGGGGTCGGGATGACCCCTGGGGACTAACCCTGTATATCATTCAAACCATCTTAGCATAACAAACCAGAATATATATGGTTTAGGGGTGGGGATCTTGACCTCTTTCAAGATATTAGAACTTTCTTAAATGGCAGGGGGTGGGGGTAACCCCTGGGGACTAACCCTGTATTTCATTTGATGTGCTTTATCATGACAAACCAGAATATATATGGTTTAGGGGTGGGGATCTCGACCATTTACAAGATATTAGAACTTTCTCAAATGGCAGGGGATCGGGATGACCCCTGGGGACTAACACTGTATATCATTCAAACCATCTTAGCAAGACAAACCAGAATATATATGGTTTAGGGGTGGGGATCTTGACAACTTAGAAGATATTAGAACTTTCTTAAATGGCAGGGGGTTGGGGTGACCCCTGGGGACTAACCCTGTATAACATTTGATGTGCTTTATCATGACAAACCAGAATATATATGGTTTAGGGGTGGGGATCTCGACCATTTACAAGATATTAGAACTTTCTCAAATGACAGGGGGTGGGGATGACCCCTGGGGACTAACCCTGTATATCATTCAAACCATCTTAGCATAACAAACCAGAATATATATGGTTTAGGGGTGGGGATCTTGACCACTTTCAAGATATTAGAACTTTCTTAAATGGCAGGGGGTGGGGGTTACCCCTGGGGACTAACCCTGTATTACATTTGATGTGCTTTATCATGACAAACCAGAATATATATGGTTTAGGGGTGGGGATCTCGACCATTTACAAGATATTAGAACTTTCTCAAATGACAGGGGGTGGGGATGACCCCTGGGGACTAACCCTGTATATCATTCAAACCATCTTAGCATGACAAACCAGAATATATATGGTTTAGGGGTGGGGATCTTGACCACTTACAAGGTATTAGAACTTTCTTAAATGGCAGGGGGTGGGGGTGACCCCTGAGGACTAACCCTGTATTTCATTTAATGGGCTTTATCATTAAGAACATTTTCAATTAAAATGTTTGTGTCTATCACAAACTGTTTTCAATTTATAATCATTTGAAAATTTAAAAAAATAAAATCCCATAGGGTTCTATAGTAAAACCCTCTTTTCTTTTTGCCCCTCAAAGTACCCCTTTATAAACCCCATTGCAAAAACAAAACCCTTATTGCACCACTAGACATGTTAGTCTAACATATTGTGAAACCCTAAGTTAATCCGACAAGCGGTTTTGGAGAACGGGTGCGGACAAGTTCAAATTTAAAAGCGGCGGAAGAAGAAGAAGAAGAAGAAGAAGAAGAAGAAGAAGAATAATAATAATAATAAGAACTGAGCAAAAACAATAAGTCTTCCCAAACTTCGTTTGGGAGACTTAATAAATACGCCATTAAATGGGTTATTTTCAATTCCGAATCAAGAGTTATATTTTCTAAATCATTTGATGGTTATTGATCGAAATTGATATCATAAGTTTGATATTAGAATAGAGAACGGAAAGAGGGAATGTATCAAAGAGACAACAACCAGATCAAAAGGCAGAAAACAGCCGAAAGCCACCAATAGGTCTTCAACCCGTTAAAAAAGTACCACACCCGGAGGCGGGCATCTTCTGGCCCCTAAACAAAAAAGTTTACTAATTCAGCCAAATGGACGACACACCAAACTCCAAATCGTACAAATTCTTAGCATGATTCAAAACATGTATAAATTAAATGGAAAGTAGGAAAAAATGAAATTTACGTTCAATGATTTCAAAGAGGCAAATTTGCTTTACGTACTTTCCAGGGTATGAGTTTTATACCGAATATATTAACCAAATATGAATATTCTAAGAGGTTCAGGCATCTATAACACGTCTCGTTTCGGTACTAATAAGTTCGTGTATATGTGTAGTCTCAATCAGTATGTGCGAGAATAAATAGTAGATGTCAATAAAACAGCCTCCCAACCAAGGCCCTCATCATATGTATATACATGTATATGTATAACAAATATCATGACATATTTTTACAAAATAGACAACATTTTCTGTGCATATCAATTTATAAATACATAAATAAAATACTTATGCTTACTAGGAGGTGAAGTTCTTTTCGCTGCAAAAATTAAAACAAAATGTGTTAACATATTCTTAACTTTGACTCGTGTACAACCAAGTCAATTTCTACCTTTCCCTACCGTTTCTAAAATCAGACATCAGGGACTATATTCGAATATATAGAATATATTTCCCCTGAATTTCATTCACTCGGTTATAATCTAAAAATTGTATAACAATATACAGGAACTAAAATTTAAAGGAGTATAAATGACATACATTAAATAATTTACAATAATTCTACGCTTATAAAAAATACAAAGTTGTTCAGCGTTGTCCATAGCTCTGGATGAGAATTCTAATAAAATATCGCAAATTGCATATTCTTTTTTTTATTTTTATTTGAAAGAAATCCTTTCTTTCTGAAAAATAAATCTTAGCATAACTACCAAAAAGAATTTTACTTTTCCTCAGGATTAATCTTCAAATTATTCGTAGTTTAAATTAAGTTTTGACAAAATCTATCAACATTTCTGTTTTGAGCCATCCCTAGCTTTAGTTTTTAGTTGTAATATACCAATAAATACGCACACAAAGCTGTCATATGCTGTTTATATAAACAGAAACTGACCAACTATTAAACATTTTATTTGTATGAAATGACAAGGCGAAAATTACCCTCATATAGAATGCCCTGGGGGAAAACTGTCATGTTTGAAATGGTTCTGTTTATAGTTATATTTCACAAATACTTACCGTCTTTTTCGCACACTGTGCAGCTCGGACATCCATTTACTATTTTTGGAGAAGATCCCTCCCCACATTCCAGATGGCACATAGGACATGCTACTACAATAATAAAATAAAAAGTGGATATTTTATTCATCTCCTTGATGTCTGCTACAAAATTTCGCTGTTGTATTTTTTATAAAATAAATTGTGTATACTGCATATTAAAGCATAGCTACAAGTATATAAGATGTGCAGATAAATAAAATAAATATGTGTGCAGTTCTTGAAATTGCGGAATCTATACCACAATTTACCAACTGATCTCTTAAAGACCAACTTGAAGATGTTAGTACAAAATCTATAATTGTGTTTTCTTCTACAAATTTCGGATTATGAACATAATCATAATATTTTTGATATGATGTTTACATATGCAATTGAAGTTTCGTATCTAGATGCTCAAATTGACAATATGTTTTCGGATGTAACCGCAAATTTATTAATGAATCCGATATCTTACACAAAACATGTCCACAATGGGTTTCAATCTGATTAGACTAAATATCCGGTGTCCACGGTTTGCTTACAAATGATAACTAGAGGCTCTAAAGAGCCTGTGTCGCTCACCTTGGTCTATGTGCATATTAAACAAAGGACACAGATGGATTCATGACAAAATTGTGTTTTGGTGATGGTGATGTGTTTGTAGATCTTACTTTACTGAACATTCTTGCTCCTTACTATTATCTCTATCTATAATGAACTTGGCCCGGTAGTTACAGTGGAAAATACTTTGTAAAAATTTACAAAAATTTACAAAATTTATGAAAATTGTAAAAAATTGACTATAAAGGGCAATAACTCCTTAAGGGGTCAATTGACAATTTTGGTCATGTTGCCTTATTTGTAGATCTAACTTTGCTGTACATTATTGCTGTTAACAGTTTATCTCTATCTATAACAATATTCAAGATAATAACCAAAAGCTGCAAAATTTTCTTAAAATTACCAATTCAGGGGCAGCAACCCAACAACGGGTTGCCTGATTGGTCTGAAAATTTCAGGGCAGATATATTTTGACCTAATGAACAATTTTATCCTCATCAGATTTGCTCTAAATGCTTTGGTTTCAGAGATATGAGCCAAAAACTTCATTTTACCCTATGTACTATTTTTTAGCCATGTCGGCCATCTTGGTTCGCGGGCGGGGTCATCGGACACATTTTTTAAACTACATACCCTAATGATGATTGTGGACTAGTTTGGTCAAATTTGTCTTAGTAGTTTCAGAGGAGAAGATTTTTGTAAAAAATTACAAAAAATTACGAAAAATGGTTAAAAATTGACTATAAAGGGCAATAACTCCTTAAAGGGTCAACTGACCATTTTGGTCAAGTTAACTTATTTGTAGATCTTACTTTGCTGAACATTATTGCTGTTTACAGTTTATCTCTATCTATAATAATGTTCAAGATAATAACCAAAAACGGCAAAATTTCCTTAAAATTACCAATTCAGGGGCAGCAACCCAACAACGGGTTTCCTGATTGGTCTGAAAATTTCAGGGCAGATAGATCTTGACCTAATGAACAATTTTATCCTCATCAGATTTGCTCTTAATGCTTTGGTTTCAGAGATATGAGCTAAAAACTGCATTTTACCCTAAGTACTATTTTTTAGCCATGTCGGCCATCTTGGTTCGCGGGCGGGGTCATCGGACACATTTTTTAAACTAGATACCCAAATGATGATTGTGGACAAGTTTGGTTAAATTTGTCTTAGTAGTTTCAAAGGAGAAGATTTTTGTAAAAGATTACAAAAATTTACGAAAAATGGTTAAAAATTGACTATAAAGGGCAATAACTCCATAAGGGATCAAATGACCATTTTGGTCAAGTTGACTTATTTGTAGATCTTACTTTGCTGAATATTATTGCTGTTTACAGTTTATCTCTATCTATAATAATGTTCAAGATAATAACCAAAAACGGCAAAATTTCCTTAAAATTACCAATTCAGGGGCAGCAACCCAACAACGGGTTGTCCGATTCATCTGAAAATTTCAGGGCAGATAGATCTTGACCTGATAAACAATTTTACCCCATGTCAGATTTGCTCTAAATGCTTTGGTTTCAGAGATATAAGCCAAAATCTACATTTTACCCCTATGTTCTATTTTTAGCCATGGCGGCCATTTTGGTTGGTTGGCCGGGTCACCGGACACATTTTTAAACTAGATACCCCAATGATGATTGTGGCCAAGTTTGGTCAAATTTGGCCCAGTAGTTTCAGAGGAGAAGATTTTTGTAAAAGTTTACGGACGACGGACGCAGGACGACGGACGACGGACGCCAAGTGATGAGAAAAGCTCACTTGACCTTTCAGGTCAGGTGAGCTAAAAAAACACCACCTTATACTTTTTGGTAAGTATAACATTGGGCACTTAAATTTCAACCTACAGTTTTGAAGATGTGTATCTTAACGACAAAAAAAAAAACAAACGCCAATCCCGTAATGCATTTAACAAAAAAAGTAAAACGGAGCATAGCCATTAGCATTAGTTAAACGCAGACACAGAATCTGTATTCTATTCAGACTGATAATGTTTTTACTTCTCCATGGAAATATATGAAACTTGTCTTTTTTCGCTCCAAAATTTTGATGATATGTATTAATATGTGATTAACTAACATTCAGGGTTGTTTTAATTATCCAATTATTAACCTTGCTAAGTGTTCTTCAGACATTCGTCAAACACAATTTTGAAAGTCATTCAAATGTTGTTAGTTAATTATGAAAGACAGTGTTCTAAAAAATGTATTTAATGAATTCTATTTACACATAATAAAAGTCGAGATGCAAATTTATTTAATGAAGATATGTTGCTTTCATTTTCGGCAGATTTGTTTGAAGAGTTTTAATAAATTTCTCCCATTTATTTGTTTTCTAGTCCTGTCATGTAATGTTGTCATTTTAATGTTTTATTTAACATTGCCATAAAAGCGGGAGGCTTGGCTAGCCACAAAACCAGGTTCATTCCACCATTTTTTTCTTAAAATGTCCTGTACCAAGTCAGGAAAATGGCCATTGTTATATTATAGTTCGTTTCTGTGTGTGTTAAATTTTAATGTTGTGTTTCTGTTGTGTCGTAGTTCTCCTCTTATATTTGATGTGTTTCCCTCAGTTTTAGTTTGTAACCCGGATTTGTTTTTTTCTCAATCGATTTATGAATTTTGAACAGCGGTATACTACTGTTGCCTTTATCTAACTAAGTTTAAGTTGGTGGCATTGTTTTTGTTTGTATTTATTAAGTCGTTATAGGCGCACTTAACTTTTTTTTATCAATTTCAATCAATACGCTATTAAATGGCTTATTTTCAATTCCAAATCAAGAGTTATATTTTTTAAATCATTTGATGGTTATTGATCGAAATTTATATCATTAGTGTGAGATTAGAATAGAGAACGGAAAGAGGGAATGTATCAAAGAGACAACAACCCGACCAAAAGGCAGAAAACAGCCGAAAGCCACCAATAGGTCTTCAACCCGTTAAAAAAGTACCACACCCGGAGACGGGCATCTTCTGGCCCCTAAACAAATATGTATTCTAATTCAGCCAAATGAACGACACACCAAACTCCGAAACGTACAAATTATTAGCATGATTCAAAACATGTATAAATTAAATGGAAAGTAGGAAAAAATTAAATTTACGTTCAATGATCTCAAACAGGCAAATTTTCTTTAAGTACTTTCCAGGGTATGGTTCTTATACCGAATATATTAACCAAATATGAATATTCTAAGAGGTTCATGGCTGGCAGGCATTTATAACACGTCTCGTTAAGGTACTAAAAAGTTCCTGTATATGTGTAGTCTCAATCGGTATGTGGGAGAATAAATAGTAGATGTCAATAAAACGGCCTCCCAACCCAGGCCCTCATCATATGTATATACATGTATATTTATAACAAATATAATGACATATTGTACAAAATAGACAACATTTTCTGTGCATATCAATTTATAAATACATAAATAAAATACTTATACTTACCAGGAGGTGAAGTTCTTTTCGCTGCAAAAATTAAAACAAAATGTATTAACATATTCTTAACTTTGACTCGTGTACAACCGAGTCAATTTCTACCTTTCCCTACCGTTTCTAAAATCAGACATCAGGGACTATATTCGAATATATAGAATAGGTTTCCCTGAATTTCATTCACACGGTTATAACCTAAAAATGGTATAACAATATACAGGAATTAAAATTTAACGGAGTATAAATGACATACATTAAAGAATTGACAATAATTCTACGCTTATAAAAAATACAAAGTTCTTCAGCGCTGTCTATAGCTCTTGGTGAAAATTCAAATAAAATATCGGAAATTAATTGCAAATTTTTTGTAAAATTTTTATTTGAAAGAAATCCTTTCTTTCTGAAAAATAATTCGTAGCATAACTATAAAAAAAGAATTTTACTTTTCCTCAGGATTAATCTTCAAATTATTCGTAGTTTAATTTAAATTTTGACAAAATCTATCAACATTTCTGTTTTGAGCCATCCCTAGCTTTAGTTTTTAGTTTTGTAAAATATCAATAAATACGCACACAAAGCTGTCATATGCTGTTTATATAAACAAAAACTGACCAACTATTAAAAATGTTCCTTGTGTAAAATGACAAGGCGAAAATTACCTTTATGTAGATTGCCATGTGGGAAAACTGTCATGTTTGAAATGGTTCTGTTTATAATAATGTTTCATAAATACTTACCGTCTTTTTCGCACACTGTGCAACTTGGACATCCATTTACTATTTTTGGAGAAGATCCCTCCCCACATTCCAGATGGCACATAGGACATGCTACTACAATAATAAAATAAAAAGTGGATACTACATTAATCTTCTTGATGTTTGTTACAAAATTTCGCTAATTGTAATAATGTGTCACTAAGACAATATTTTGTTTATGTAACCGCAAATTTATATATGAATCCGATATCTTACACATAACGTGTACACAATTGGTTTCAATCTGATTTGAATACAGATCCATTGTTCACGGTTTGCTTATAAGGTTCAAAGAACACCATGTTATACTTTCTGTTTTGGTTATTATTTCATTAGGCACTTCAACCTTCAGTATAGAAGATGGGTAGCATTTCGACAATAAACAGCCGATCTCGTAAGGTATTGAAAATGAAAGTAGAATGGAGTGTTTCCAGATCCTTGTAAGCAAAACTCGGACATAATAACGCCTCGGAATTTTGACGATAATTATTAATATATGCATGACGAACATTTAGGGTTGTTTCAATTGTCCCATTTTTAACTTTGCTATGTTTTCCTCGGACATTGGTCAAATGCAATTTTTAAGGTCAAAAAGGCTTTAAAAACAGTACTCTGAAAAAAGGAATTTAAAGAATTCTACTTTGACATATTAAAAGACGCGTTACAAATCTATTTAGTGAAGATATTTAGCTTTCGTTTTCTGCAGATTCTGCAAAAGAATATTTGCTAAGTTGATGTTTTTGGCATTATGAGGTCTTTCCACTTTTCTGTGGAAAGACCTATTGTATTTGTTCTGATTATTATTATTATTTTTTTTTTTCCGCCAAATTTTGTTCTTGCGATAAATGTTTGTTTCGCAATATGTCGCTTAGATATTTCTCATATTGTATCGTATAGTTTATGCGCTTTTAAATTTCACCCTGCTAAGCCGAACCATTTTCTTTTTAAGAGTTATCTCCCTATTTACTGTTTATCATCTGTGTGCATCTCCTTCGTAACAAAAAAAGATATCGACAAAATTCTTTTTCTAAATTGTTTGTTACATCCTCAGGAATTTTTGTCTAATTTGGATCGAAGCGATCCAGTGAGATCTTAAAGGAGTTATCTGCCTTTACCAACTTAATTTGTCGTTATGTTTTTGTAACACGTAAACCGTAAGCCGTATAAAAAAAATTTGACCAAAATGTTAGTCTCGACATGATATAACTGGAAAGTTTTTGTCAAAATGGTACGCGTCATTGTTTTAGGGGTTCCATGCCACTGAAATAGTAAAATGAACAAAATGAACTAATTATAGCCTCAAACTTTGCAGCTATCATGATGTATACATGCATCTTATCTTAATTTATCAACCAAGTTCAACCATTCTCCACACCCCCCCCCCTTTTTTTTCTTTTTTTTTTCCTTCTACCTTGAGGAATCCCATTTCGCCTTGAAGTTCAGTCCTGTACATTTACTGTAAAAATGCAATCCTTCTGATGTACAAACTTCTTAAATAGAAACTCATTCCTGCAAAAATCAGCTCCAATTCATGTTCCCGTTAGACGCGGTCCGCTTGATTGAGAAATAAAATTCCATGACGTAGAAAAATCGTAAATATTGCTGAAATCCTACAATTAATTTTTTTAATCATGCACTAAAATACAAATCTGTGCTCCCGTAAACATGTGTACGTAAGATGCATGCATGATCCGTCTTCAATGACCTGTAAATAATAAAACCAATAGTGATCGTGTTTCTCCGATCAATACACATGTGCTCTGTTCAACGGTCTCCCCTGAAAAGAAATAATATTTAAACTCCAGACATATATATTTGAACGTCACGTGACTTCAAAACACCCTCGCGCGCGCGGACCTAAAATTAGAATAAAACATGCCATATCCAAATATAGAATGTGAAACTTCCAAGACAAAATGTTACTCAGTTTTTTCCTACAAGTTCAAACAAAATGCAAACACAGCACGTAAAAGAAACCACGAAGTACGAGTTCCAATAGAAAATAAGAGTAAATTTTAAATAAAAGAACATGTCAGGACTTTCATTCTTTAGGATATCCTTATGCTGTCTGTTTGGGAGTGCAAGATGTATAAGTACGCAGCCACGTCGTCGGTCAGAATATCAACTTTAAGTCCTAGGCCTCGCTAAGAGAGGGAGAGTGCCATGCAGACTTTCAATCAATCAATCAACCAATCAATCAATCAATCAATCAATCAATCAATCAACCAACTAACCAATCAACTAATCATTAAATCTGTTTAATACGGTGTCCAAGATCGCATGTGTTTCTTTTTCGCTTGTTTAAAGAGACCCTATCCCATGGGTTTAATTAGTATATCAGCCAACCAATCAATCAATGGGTTTAATTAGTATATTAGCCAACCAACCAACCAACCAACCAATCAATCAATCAAAAAATCAATTATTCATGTTTTGGAGGGGAAAGACCGTTTAACAATTGTTTTTAAAACAATTGATTTATATTTTTTGTCTGCATTTGCTTAATCGTTAAAGGAGCACTTAACATTTTGTTATCAATTTCAATAAATACGTTTTAAATTGGCGATCAACGGTTATATTTTCTTAATCATATGATAGTTATTAATCGAAATTGATATCATTAGTTTTGAAATAAACATGATTCAAAACATTTATCTTTTTGTTTAAAGTAAGTTACAAAAATTAACTTTACTTTTAATGATTTCCAATAGGAAGATTAACAATAAGTACTATCCAGATTGTCTGGCTAATACTGAACATTTAAACCAAACATGAATATTCCAAGTGGTCAAAAGAGGGCAGTGCAAGCACGTCTTGGTTCAGAACTATTAATTTCCTATATACTTGAAATATCACTCAGTATGTGCGAGAATACATAGTAGATGTACATATAACAGCCTTGCAATCCAGACCCTTATATGAATATATATGCAATACAAATATAATGATATATTTCACAAGATAGACAACATTTTCTGTTCTTACTAATTTATACATACATATATAATATACTTTTGCTTACCAGGAGGTGAAGTTCTTTTCGCTGCAAAAATAAAAAATATTAACCGCATTAATATAATATTTTAACCTTCAAATCGTTCACACACAAGTCAATTTCAGCCTTTTCCTACCGTTTAAAAAAATCAGATATAAGGGACTATGTGGAATGAATATATAGAATACATTTCCCCTGAATTTCAGACACTTGGTTTGAAAAATATCACCTTATAATTATCATTTCATTTCAAAAATTGTATAACAATATACAGGAATTAAAATTTAAAGGAGTATAAATGACATACATTAAAGAATTGACAATAATTCTACGCTTATAAAAAATACAAAGTTCTTCAGCGCTGTCTATAGCTCTTGGTGAAAATTCAAATAAAATATCGGAAATTAATTGCAAATTTTTTGTAAAATTTTTATTTGAAAGAAATCCTTTCTTTCTGAAAAATAATTCGTAGCATAACTATAAAAAAAGAATTTTACTTTTCCTCAGGATTAATCTTCAAATTATTCGTAGTTTAATTTAAATTTTGACAAAATCTATCAACATTTCTGTTTTGAGCCATCCCTAGCTTTAGTTTTTAGTTTTGTAAAATATCAATAAATACGCACACAAAGCTGTCATATGCTGTTTATATAAACAAAAACTGACCAACTATTAAAAATGTTCCTTGTGTAAAATGACAAGGCGAAAATTACCTTTATGTAGATTGCCATGTGGGAAAACTGTCATGTTTGAAATGGTTCTGTTTATAATAATATTTCATAAATACTTACCGTCTTTTTCGCACACTGTGCAACTTGGACATCCATTTACTATTTTTGGAGAAGATCCCTCCCCACATTCCAGATGGCACATAGGACATGCTACTACAATAATAAAATAAAAAGTGGATACTACATTAATCTCCTTGATGTTTGTTACAAAATTTCGCTAATTGTAATAATGTGTCACTAAGACAATATTTTGTTTATGTAACCGCAAATTTATATATGAATCCGATATCTTTCACATAACATGTACACAATTGGTTTCAATCTGATTTGAATACAGATCCATTGTTCACGGTTTGCTTATAAGGTTCAAAAAACACCATGCTATACTTTCTGTTTTGGTTATTATTTCATTAGGCATTTCAACCTTCAGTATAGAAGATGGGTTTCATTTTGACAATAAACAGCCGATCTCGTAAGGTATTGAAAATGAAAGTAGAATGGAGTGTTGCCAGATCCTTGTAAGCAAAACTCGGACATTATAACGCCTCGGAATTTCGATGATAATTATTAATATATGCATGACGAACATTTAGGGTTGTTTCAATTGTCCCATTTTTAACTTTGCTATGTTTTCCTCGGACATTGGTCAAATGCAATTTTTAAGGTCAAAAAGGCTTTAAAAACAGTACTCTGAAAAAGGGAATTTAAAGAATTCTACTTTGACATATTAAAAGACGCGTTACAAATCTATTTAGTGAAGATATTTAGCTTTCGTTTTCTGCAGATTCTGCAAAAGAATATTTGCTAAGTTGATGTTTTTGGCATTATTTTTGTCTGCATTTGCTTAATCGTTAAAGGAGCACTTAACATTTTGTTATCAATTTCAATAAATACGTTTTAAATTGGCGATCAACGGTTATATTTTCTAAATCATATGATAGTTATTGATCGAAATTGATATCATTAGTTTTGAAATAAACATGATGCAAAACATTTATCTTTTTGTTTAAAGTAAGTTACAAAAATTAACTTTACTTTTAATGATTTCCAATAGGAAGATTAACAATAAGTACTATCCAGATTGTCTGGCTTAGACTGAACATTTAAACCAAACATGAATATTCCAAGTGGTCAAAAGAGGGCAGTTCAAGCACGTCTTGGTTCAGAACTATTAATTTCCTATATACTTGAAATATCACTCAGTATGTGCGAGAATACATAGTAGATGTACATATAACAGCCTTGCAATCCAGACCCTTATATGAATATATATGCAATACAAATATAATGATATATTTCACAAGATAGACAACATTTTCTGTTCTTACTAATTTATACATACATATATAATATACTTTTGCTTACCAGGAGGTGAAGTTCTTTTCGCTGCAAAAATAAAAAATATTAACCGCATTAATATAATATTCTAACCTTCAAATCGTTCACACACAAGTCAATTTCAGCCTTTTCCTACCGTTTAAAAAAATCAGATATAAGGGACTATGTGGAATGAATATATAGAATACATTTCCCCTGAATTTCAGACACTTGGTTTGAAATATATCACCTTATAATTATCATTTCACAAAGACCTACCATTTTTGACGCATTCTGTGCAGCTAGGACATCCACCTTCCATTTTTGGTGAAGATCCCTCCCCACAATCCAGATAACAATCGGGACATCCTACTACAATAATATAATACAAAGTGGATTATACATTCATCTGTTTCACATACTGTGTCCTCATTTAAAATAAATTGCACCTTGACATAGAAAACAAACAGGTACTACATGTAGTATATGATTTACAGATAAAGCAAAGAAACATGTCCACTGTTCTTATATTTAAAGAATCCACGACATCATTAAACAACAGATCGCTTTAAAGACAACGATGTTAATTTCCTTTAGCCAACTTCGGATACCGATTATTACTGAATTAGTGTGCAATGTCAACAAATGCATTTCGAGTTTCATATTTTAAATGATGTCATTCTTTGACAATATTTTCTAATATTACTGATAACATACATATAACATGTACACAATGGGTTTCAATTTGATTGACATACTTATCCTCTATCCACGCTTTGCTTACATGGATTATTATTCATTTTGGTAGATACGTCAACAGAGTATAAACGAAGTCAAAGTGTTCTGTTGTCACAGTCTGTATCCATTAAGTCGTTACAGTTTTTATACTTTTGAATATGCACGTCGTTAAATGGCTTATTTTTTTTTTTTAACACCTGATTCAAAATATCTGGTTACATTTTCTAAATATTTTGATAATGTTTGGTTCTACATTGGTATCATAATATATAAATAAGAAGATGTGGTATGATTGCCAATGAGACAACTCTCCACAAGAGACCAAATGACACAGAAATTAACAACTATATGTCACCGTACGGCCTTCAACAATGAGCAAAGCCCATAAGCTTGATATTAGCATGGTCCAAACATGTTAAAATTGTAAGGTAAGTACAAAACAATAAAACTTAACTTTGAGTGATATGATTGGCAGAGTGGCTATACGTTCTATCAAGATTGTCTGGTTCTTATACTTAATATGAATATTCCAAGTGATTCAGAGCTAGAGGGTAGTAATAGCACGTATCGGTTCAGTACTATTAAGTCCGTGTATATTTGTAGTATTAATCAGTATGTGCTAGAATACATATTAGATTTTACATAAAACATCCTCCCCATCCAGACCCTCATAAGATATGTATAACAGATATAAGGATATATTTGTTAAGATAGACAACATTTTCTGTGTTTGTTATTTTATAAATACATAAACGAGTTACGTAATCTTACCATCTCTTTTAACTGCAAAATGAAAAATATAAACCGTATTAACAGATTATAACCATGAAATCATGTACAGTCTAGTCAATGCTAGTCACATAGTACCCTTCACTACCGTTTACAAATTCAGACATCAAGGATTTACAACAAGTATTTAGAATAAATTTCCACTGAATTTTAGTCACTGCATGTGGGTTGCAAACCGAACTTGGTTTAACAATATCCTGAAACTTTAATATAAAAGAGTGCCAATGATATACATCTAAGAATCTACGCATATAAAAAAATATACAAAATGTTTTAAAGTTATTCAGCTCTATCCATAGCTGTTGAAGACCGTTCTAATAAAATAGCGTAAATTGTACATGTTTTTGTAAGTTTTTGATTTAAAGGATATCCTTTCTATCTGAAATATAATTCGTAGTATTTCTTCCAATATGATTTCGATTTTTGTTATGAATATCCTTCAATTCATTTAACTTAAATACACTGAATCTACCAAAATCTACCAAACATTTCAGATTGGAGCCATCACTAGCTACTGGAGTTTTAAATTTTATAAAATATTAAGATATTAAGAAGTACGCCATGATATTGTTAAAAGCTCAAATCACGCACATAAGGCTGTATGTAATATGCTGTAAATTTAAGCAAACTCTGGCAAACTTTTTAAACATTGACCCTTTTGTGAAATACAATGGGGAAAATGACCCTTGATTGAAATGCCAGGAAAATAGCACTTCTGTGAATTTCCTTGGGAAAATGGTCCTACCTCTATTCAATGAATGTCATTACTTACATTTGTAAAATTGAGAATGGAAATGGGGAATGTGTCAAAGAGACAACAACCCGACCATAGAGTAGTATTAGAAATGTACTCAGGTAAGCAACTATTGCATTAATACAACTCTAGATGTCCTGCTTCATATACCGTTTAACCGGAAATATCTCTTTATTTTATAAAAAACACTGCAGCTTTTTTTTTATCGCAGATATTTTTTCTAGCGAAATGGATTATTGTTAAGATACAAATATATTCAAAAATGGTACCAGGAGAAATCTGCATGGCTATCATGTTATTGTTGCATTCTAACTCAATACTTTTCAATACTGATTTCTTATTTCCATCTTTAAAAGTCGTAACAGAAAATCAATCCTTAAACTTTTACGACAACTACAAGAATAACATTCTAAGGGATATAACCCACTGTGGACTGATATTTCTGACGGAGTTTTTTGTTAGTTTCGTTACGAAACAAACTGGTTTACGATGAACTTTACTGAAATATGTAACAACTATAAGTAGCTTCCTGTAGCAATGATAACATTGTATACACTTCTTGTCGCTAGCATCCTTTTTGTGGTTGCACTGTGCACGTTTTTGTATTGTGTGTTTTAGTTTTATGACATAGATATAAAAAAGCAAATAGGGATACCATATGGATGTAAAACTGATTGACATGTAACCCATCACATTTTGTGTCTATCAATTCAGGCTATGTGGATCATATTTTGTTCGCTGTTGTTTTTCTTTGTTTTTTTTTTTTTGGGTTTTTTGGGGGTCGGATGTTGGTGCTTAATGAGATGTACTGTGAAGTTTGGGTTTTTGGATGTTTTTGTTTTTGCTATTTCTGTGATCCCCTTTTTGTATTATGCTACTATATCATTAATCATTGCATGAGAGTTTCAAAAACCTGTGTAATTGTTCAAACTAGATCATAAACTGTTAACTGTATTTTAAACAATACATGTATATCTTTATTCATGAAATTTATGATAACAATTTTCATTTGTAAAATTGTAAAAAAAGATTTTTTCAAAAGTGATTGATATACACTAGCTGTGATTAAGAAACAATATCTAGATCGTATCTACATGTAAGTGTTCCAAACAATTTAATAACTTTTACGATGTTTGAAAGTCACGACTTTTGCTTGGCACAAAACATACGGGTCTTTTCAAATAGTATATAGTCTAGTACCTTAAAACATTACAAGATCTCCTATGAGCGTTTGTTTATCGTTCGGAGTATGCTCATCTTGAAATAATATTTGATCACACAAAGTCAATAGATAGGTTTATAATAAAAATGAAGTACAAACCATCTTTCACGCAAACATCACACTTTAGACATCCTCTTTCATCTACAGGTTTTGTATATCCTCCTGGGCATCTACTTGCACATAAACCACAAGCCATTCCTCCTACACAAGACTACTTAAAAATATTTCCTTTGTTCTAACGCAAAAACTCCTCCAGCAAGGCCATGAGGAATTGCTACATAAATCGACACTACACAATAGAATTTAGAACGGAAACGGGGAATGTGTCAAAGAGACAGCAACCCGACCAAAGAGCAGAAAACAAGGCCAACAATGGGTCTTCAACGCAGCGAGAAAATCCCGCTTTTCCTGTCATCATCTCAAATTGTTGGGTCTGTAAGTACGCTATCAATCAACACTACACCAGTTTTCTGTCCCCATCACAAATTAGTTGACCAATTCCGGTGCGTCTATATCACACATTATGAGAGACTTATTTTCCGGTGTCTGAAACACGCACCGCATGAATGCAGGAGACGCTTACCCTGTGAACCCTTCCGAGAGCTTGATCCGTTTTAAGCTTACGCGATTCCCTAAGTTTTTCTTTTAATCTTGGTTTGTTAATTCAAAATTGATTTACATGTACGAGGAGTTTTCATCATTGGTTAAATGGGGTTAGTCTACAATGAGACGTCACCTAAGAACACAGCCTACTAAAAGGCTCCTAGAGGTGTCTAGAGTCAAACATTGTATAAAAAGGGCTATGTTTGACCAAAAGCAACAATAAAGTTTATTAATGACAAAACATATTCAGATATAAATGAAGACAAATACGGATAAGGTTCCTCTCTTGTTACAGGCACATTAACATAATTAGGACAGGGTTAAGTTAGTTCTTTAAAAGATATCAACCCTCGCCATTTTTATCTCGCTCAACTGTGAACTTATTGACAGATTGTCTCCACTCAAGCGATGTAGACCTGATATTTACTCTTGTATATTGTTGACCATCACATGCTGCTGATCTGATAAGACTATGTTTCAGTGTGACCTTTTTAATTTCATTTTTTTTTCTTCAATCTATTCTCTCTTTTTTTTATCATTTAATCCCTTGACGTATAGCCCAAATTTTGCGTTTTATTCAAGAAGATATTTATATTTTTTTTATTTAAATAATTTATCTTACCATCCCGCTTCTCTATGCTGAAATAATTCAAAAACAAACTGTTACAAACAATCGTTGCTATAAAATATATGGCCGTTACAAGTTTATACATATTGAATCAACCAGAAATACTTAAATATAGATGCATTATAGAACCTAAGTGAGAAAGCTTATTAAATTGCTCGGAATAAATTATTTCTAACAAGCAACAGCTAAGAAAACTTTAGTGACACACTATTCTGCTTAGTATAAAATTATTTCTAACAAGCAATACAAAATTAAGAAGATGTGATATGATCGCCAATGAGACCAAATGACATAGTAGTTTGAACCTATAGATCACCGTACGACCGTCAATAATGAGAAATGCCCATTCCGCAAAGCAAGCTTTAAAAGGCCTGACATGACAATTGTAAACTTCAAACGAGAAAGCCTACGTCATATTCACGGTTAGTTACTTTTTTTTAAATTGAATTTGTATCGGTCCTACAAAATTCATTTGAAGCGCAGGCGTATACAGTTCTTTTAAAAAAGAAAGCTTGTTTACCAAAACATCAACAAATCTTGGCACACCGACAACTGTGATTGATTGATTGATTGATTATTGTTTTCTTTATCATCCAATGGCAAATATTACATGCATAGTCAGGACCTTAAAATATTAACAATGAATACAATAGGTAAGTCTTGTAAAAGGGGTCGTCCCGGATGAAGGTCGTGAAGTATGGAAAACAAGGGTTTATTGCATAGGGACAGACTTTTTGCAATGAGAAACCTACGGACCCCTCAAATCGTTTTTGGAAGGACTCTTAACGTGCAGAGAGCGTGGTACTCCCTCTTAACAAGGCATCTGAGTTAACGTCCCTATTCTGACCGGACGTGGTGGCGTACTTATACATCTTGCACAGCCAAACGACGTCCCACTTTGGCAAGGGTTTTACTGTCGGCAAGAAGAAAACCAAATGTGACCATGCACATTTTTATTCCCAAGTCACCCTTTCTAGAAACAGAGATCGCACAGACGTTTTAGCGATATATGCCAGCATCACGATAAAGAGAGGGAAACAGTGTTGCAGGTAGACAAATGAACTCAAATTAGTCCCAAAAGCCAAATGTGAACGCAGGCAACCAATTAATTACTATCACGACCGTACTATAACGTGACTGTACGACTACAAATTGTAGAAAAAGGATGGAAATTGTGATTGTGAGTATGTAGAAGAAGTAACATTCAAGATTTAAGCATTAACATATTAAAATAAGTACGAAATGAGAATTTACGGAACAAATATTCACTATAAACAAATCAGGTCAGCCCAGAATAAATTGAGTTTGTTGCCGTTAATTACGCTCATTTGAATTCTAGAAATAACACGAAACATATGTTTCCATTGCTTCATATAAAATAACTGCATGTTCAGGGTTTTTCAGTTTTCAAATTTAAACATGACTTTCGTGGATACTGCCATTTTTTAGTAAAATTCTGATATATATAATCGGATACTGATCGATGGAATTGATTTTGGATGTTTTGCGTGTCGTTGGGTGGCTGTCTTATTAACGTATGACCCACATACCTTCTATACATATATGAATAAGTATTATTCTCACGATGTACATGTTATATGAGGGGCTAGATGGGGTTTATAGAATAGAGAATAAAGGACAAAATCTGCAGAAAAAAATCACCAAAAAATAAAGAATAAAGAAATAGGAAAAAAAAAAGAGTAAAGAATTATGGGCAATAATATAAAGAATATAGAAACAGGACCTAACTATTTAAAGAATAAATAAATGAAGGATACCCTAAACTCCTCCCCCCTCCCCCCCCCCCCCCTTCCAGACCCGGAAAGACAATTTATGCTATGCATGCGGTCAGATTTTTAACTAATGTCATAAAGTGCGAAAGTTATCAAACTTTGGTGCTAGTAAAACAAAATTTAAAGCCAAAGGATTCTATGTGTACAATTTCTGGTCAAAAAGAAAATTAATTGATCTGTGAAGATTGAAAATTTTGAATCACTGCTGTTAAATTTGTTTCCGACTACAATGTTCTCCAAATGGTTTTCCGTTGGACTGCTTTGCAAGCGAAAACAAAATATTGTTACTTTGCAATTGCTACAAATTTATTGTGCTGCACCCACTACTTTATGTTTAAAATAATAGTTATGTGCATGTTGCACCGACTTTTTTAGGAGAAAAAAAATATTTGTCGATTTCTTATTTCAACGCAATAATTTCCATTTGGAAAAAAGGAGATGGTATCATAATAAATATTTTACATTTTGTAATAATTTTGTTCAAATCGTAATTGAGAATATCACTGCAATATCAAAATGAAATTAGTTCTTAAATAACTTTTTGCAGTGGCAAGATTGTTCGCCAGGTTTTCTGTCACTATTTCTTGTCCCTTGTTGTAATTTTCCATAAACAATAAATTTTACACCAGGGGACTTGTTCTCTGTTGTTATTCAAAAAGAGTGGCAGCATACCAAGGGGGCATTCAAAACTCATAAGTGTTCAGCCAAACGATAAACTAACAATGTCATGGCTAAGAAAGAAAGACGGCGGAAAGACAAACAAGTTTTTGAAACACTGCAGCATAGAACACTTAGGGAGCTACCATTTGATTTTATGGGGGGGGGCTAGGATGAAAATTTTTGTCCTGCCTTTTTATTTTTACCTCTATTCGGTCCTGCCTTTTTATTTTTCACTCTATTCGGTCCTGCCTTTTTTTTTTTTTAGTTTATCCTGACTTTTTGTTTTACATAAATTGTCATTCTGCCTTTTTTTTTGCTAATAATCTCATCCTGCCTTTTTTTTTACTCAAAAATCCTGTCCTGCCTATTTTTTTCAAATTTCATCCTAGCCCCCCCCCATAAAAATCAAATGGTAGCTCCCTTAACACTGAGCAACACGAACTCCATCTAATTCTTTGGTCGATACCAGGTGCTCCAGAAGGGTTCGAGGATTAATCGCGATTATAGAGTAAATTTATCTGTAAGGATGTCTGAACATATTCCGAGTTATTGAAAATGCATATAATCATATAATTATCTTCAGTCTTAATTATTAAATATAGATAAATGGTCCTACCTTGCATCCAGTGCGCTTTTTCCAAGCACCTGTAATTTAGAATAATTATGAGTACAGCAGCAACACAAATATACATGTGAATCGTTTACTTTAAAATATAAGGTGTTAATAATTCTTTAAAATCATGGCTTTAGCTATTGTTGTATTCAAAACTTGTCGACATATATCTGTTTCACACAAGGTTTTCAAGAATTATACACATAGCAACAACAATGAATTGTGAAACCAAAAAACGAATAAAGACACATTTTCTTAAGGTGTGTGTGTGGTTATTTTTTCTTTCCTTCAAATTATTGTAGTTCATTTAAGTTCTTGAAAATGAAGGTGCTGTTGGGCAAACATTTCATTTAAAAAAAACTTAATGAACACGACAGCCAAACAAAAAACAAAAGTTGCCTTGTTCATCAATTTTCCTCTCGATTTTTATTTTGAAGTTTTTCAATCCCATATACATTTCAGTGATTAAATTAAATTCCCATTATAAAAAACAGATGGCATAAAAATGATATAGAAGATTTCAAATTGTAATCGCCAAACATTCTTTACATGAATTTTACATCAAATCTAGTCACGTTTTAAAATAAACTTTCAAAAACTATTACCAAGAATGCATTTATTTCTAAAAAAAAACTCATACATACCTGAGACACGAGGACAACCAATGCAACTGCAAACAGAACACGTGACATCTTTTCCAGATATTGAGAATTTCTCGAGTGATGTGCGGCTTGTATTTCAATCTATTTATACCAATGCGTTTATGTTAAATATAGCAACATATCACCAGAGGTAACGGTAGTTAGATTAACAAATTTCCTGGAGCTTTTACTACTATCATTATGTGTCGCCTTAAATAATTTATTCATATGTAAATCATGCAAAATGCTTAAAAGCTATACAAAAGGTTATCAGTTTATTCAATTTCCTTTTTCCATTTCCAATATAGAAATTTAAACAGTTGTCACAAACCGAGGCAATGTAGCAGTTTCAAGGTTAACGAAAGTTGCTGTTTCAATGTAAAAGTAATATTTCATATTATGTAGTTGTGGGTTGGTTTGGGTTGGATTGGGGTTTGGGGTGATTTTTTCATAAAAGATTGTACAACTAATCTTCATACATAATCGATCCAAGTGTCATTTTTAAAAAGAGAGGTCGATGTACCCTTTTTCGAGCTATTAAATGATTAAAATCAGTCGAAAAAAAAATCTTTCCCCGATATTTCACAGTTTGACGTCGCGAAAAAAACACATTTTACATTTAATTTAGCAACGTCATTATCTCCCCTTCAACTGTGTTGAATGCCCTTAAATTTTAAGTGATAGGAATTTGTCCTATTTTTTTATAAAGAAAAACATATTTGACAACAAAGAAAAACACTCAAATTCACCTAATACTATACATGTTGGGAGAAAGTTATTTTTTAGTCGAAGTCAGTTGTATAATTATAGAATGATATGTTGTCTGATGGCTGGTAGTTCGATGTTTGCTAATATGTCAAACACAGATGTTACATGCCTTGAAGACAATGCATGTTTTATTCTAAATTTCTAATTTAGATATTTATCCCTAGGTCATTAACATTTGTTGGTTTTAGTATCATCTGCTGCAATTTGTTAAAAATATATTGTGCTCAGTCTTGTTAATTTTTTTTTCAGGATTGGAGACTAGTAATTACTTTGGAAATGTGTTACTCTTCATTTAAGACAAAATTTTAATTTAGTTTCATATACCAGTATTCCCTCTGTGTACATTGTGTATTTACTAGTGAACATTTTATGCTCTGAATATTTCTGTTTTTCATTTATTTATTTTAATTTACATATCATATTCAGACGTGCATGTGGGACGCAGAAAAAAAAAACGTTTTCGACATGGTTGTAACATATCGAGTTTTTTTTTATCTGTAAAGTGAGCATTTACCCGCATAGTTTGATAAATTTTGTCAATTTGACAAAACCGGAGATTGCTACCCCAGGCACAGGCACAATTCTTCTTAAATTGTTTTGACTTTTTTTTCCTCATATTGTTAGATATCGGAACCAATCGTAAATGGGTAATGACAGCTTGGCATCATTGTCGAAGATGAAGCGTTTCAGCTTATTAACCTTTTACATTTTGATCGCTTTTTTGTAATCACTAATGTAACTTGTGAATACATGTGATTGTCCTTCAGAATCTTATTGGTCAATTTATGTTGAATGGCTTCTTTACTCTGTATTTAAAGCAATAAACATGCTGCCAATTTTAATAAATTCAATGATCACAAAAATAAATCAATTTTGCGTGTCGAATTCCATTCAACTCCGTCATTTATTTCGTTTTCCAACTAATTTGATTTGAATGCCGTTTATTAGTCTAATTTCGACAAAATATGGTATACTAAATGCGTATGGCATACAAAATGCGTATGGCATACTTAATGTGTATGGCATACAAAATGCGCACGGTATACTAAATGAATAAGTCTGGTAACTTTGATGAGTTTATACGAACGCCTTACTAATTTTAATTTGTAAACTTTAGGGAAACATCCCTGAGGCTGATGTTCCAAATGTTGTAGCCTAACCCTATCGTTTCAACTTTCATGCAATCACCAATTATGCAAAGTATTATTTAACCCCATGTTTAAAATAAAATATATTATCACGACAAGCGCCTCTATTTAATAACCGCTATTTTATTTTTTTTTTTTATTTGGGGGGGGGGGGGGGGGGGCAGGGGGGGGGGGCGGCGGAAGGGGGGTTTTCTGTGCAGTGTTTTGTGGTTTTTTGTTTGGTCAACTTTTTTTTTTTGCTTTTGGTGTTGTTTGTTATTCTTTAACTTACAACTTTATCGCTAGCCCCGGTATCTTCGACTTGTTTGTACAGATTAATATGACTGTATGACTGTTACATGATACAACAAACAATCCACCATTGAATGAATTTCTTATAAACGACTTCCGCACGTGGCAGGTGCGCTCGACTCCAATTGAAATTGACTGAAATTGTCAGTTTTCATACCGAAGGTTCTCTCCGGGCAAGCCAGTTTCCTTCACCAATAAAAACTTACCACCGCCAGATAGCACAATATTGCTGAAAGTTGCGTTAAACACCAATCAATCAATCAATCAATATAAACGACTTCGACCTTTCAGGAAAAAAGAGGTATGATAAGGTCTCTGTTTGACCTGTTCTATTCGAAAATCATGAAGATATTGGTTCTACTTTTTATTATCATATTGGCATTTTTGACAGTGTCAAAGGTGAAAGGTCAATGTGATCATATTATTATAGAAAAAACAAAGGATATAGGGTATACATCCATGACACAAAATCAGAACATACACAGCAAAAAACACACAAAAAGCAAGGGAACAACGCTTTTGTTGCTGTTCTTCATCTAAATGTCACAGTGAGGCCTTCAACACGGTGCAAAAGAGAAATAAAATAACTGTAATATTGTATATTCTCGTTTACAAATAAATTGAAAAAAAAATCAAGGAATATTTTTTTACCTAAATATGAAAGAAAAAAAAAGAGACCATGATGACATAATTTTTCAACACTACATAGCAGAGTGTGGTGCTGTTGTTATTAAATTATCTCTGTATCTAGAATTTACTATTACCACTACATGTACAACCTACTAGGCTGAAGCTATCAATTAATAATTTAATTTTGGATGTAACGCGTCTTCTGATTGGCTGACGTTGTTTTGTTTATCAGCTCATAGACATAATTTTGTCATGTGACCGTGACGTCATCAACGTTTTTTCATGGTTTACTCCGGTTTAAAATGAAATTTAGAATTAAATTATAAGAAATGACTGTTATATTTTTTCTGTCTATGCGAAATAACATTAAAAATGTGGTGCACACTTTAAAATAACCCGCTACGCGGGTTATTCAGTGTGCACCACATTTTTGATGTTATTTCTTCATAGACAGAAAAATATTACAGTCATTCCTTAAATAGCTTCAACCTTGCAAAGACATGGCACTGAAACTAAAGAAGACGTACACAACTATGAGAAAACTGTTTAAGAATTAATTTCATAGTTTTGGTGACAACGTATTCATGCAACTTGACCACTTTCTACATATCAAAGCCACATTTTTTAGCAAAAAAAAAGCATTCAATGTGCACTTAGAAGATGAATTTTAACCTACGAAAATAAAAATGTTTCATTTTTTTGTATAACAAGTAAGAATTTTACGAAAAACCATACATGTATAAAACTGCTCATATATCTAGAATCATGTGCAAAACAGTGTAGGCCAGACCATTGATTGGCGCGCTAAAATATCCCATTGACTGGGTCAGATTAGGTGAGCGTTCGTCTGTAATGCCCACAACTCACGACGTATTTATTATAAACATTTAAACTGTGGGGTTGCCAAAGGGTTTCAGTATATATACGAACTACAGTGCACAGTATATTATATACATATTTTATTTGCGATCATAAAATGTACGAAGTCGTCCATTACTATGTAAATTAGGTCGATTAAAAAAAAAGCTGAAAATGTTTCTGTTGCCAAGGGTTTTTCACAAGTATAGTAGTTAGCAGAAAAGTTCACCAAACTATACATTTTACCTATTCAAAAACGTAAATGCAAATTCCACAAGGCTTGATCCAAATAGCCTTTTTATTGTCGAATAACTTGCAAGTACGAAAAAGACAGGACAGAAGTATATTTTGTCTATATGTTTTGTGTACGCACACTTTTTAAAGTTGATCATGCATTCGTTCTAAAATATTTTGACCAGAAAAAAGTTAAAAGATGACATAATTGGACATGCAACCGCAATTGTTAAATCGCTTTGACGTCCGAAAAAAAAGATAATAATCAACACATGCATTGTAACTTTTAAAGCCATTTAAATCCTTCTTTTTTTTTGCTGAAAGAACGTGCGATATCATAAAAATTGATAATCAAAACATAACGAAAACACAAGTAAAGAACGTTCACTGAAATGCAGTCAAGTTTAGCGATTGATAATTCATTGATAACATTCTGGCGTATCACAAACAAACAACTTGTAACGTCTCATTTCATTGGCCGAAAGATTTAAATACAACAACAATTGTTGTGTGCACGTGAATTGACACAGGTGACCGACAATGGAATGTACTACGTTACTACGAACGTAAAAAACAATGATTTGTGGTCGAAATAATTAAATAAGTATTTTGTGAATTTCAAATAGTGGGGTCGAAATATTATACTAATAATTTGTGTTAAGTAATATTCTTTATGCATGCAGCACTTGTACCGCACTATGAAAAATATAAGGATAAAATAAAATACATGTGCCGCTTTTATACGGATGAATGTATGAACCACTTTAATTTCTTTCATATTGACGCTAGGTTATTATCCTGACAATGTCGTAGTTACTTATAATAAGGATCTCAAAATACTGATCCATTTCAAATTTATGATGGGTTGCACATTCCTCTTTTATTGTTTTCATGCTATAAAACGAAAATAAAGTAGCTAAGCGTTTGGTCATTCAGAAATGACGTGTCATAAACGAGCAAATTGTCCCCGAAAGATCGTACCATGTGTGCACGTGAATATAGATGTACTATGCAATGTACTATCATGGTCACCACGAAATTCAAATGAATTCAGTGAAGGCATGTTGGTGTAAAAAGGTTTGAAATGTTTCATCGGCGAAGATTTTATTTTTGCATGTGTGGAACTAAAAAATAAATAAATACTTGTGAGAAATGTCGTAGTTTATAAGGAACTATATAAATGTACTGTTTTCGATTTTAATTGGTTGAAAATTTATCCTTTAATTTCATACCGTAAGAATAGAGCTTTGCATAACATTGTTGAACTATCCGCCAAAGTAACGTGTGGCATGCGTGCGTATTAAAATGAAATACAAAATCATACATGTATGATAAACTTATAAACGAAATATTAAGAAATTAAGGATGACTACTGTAAAAGTATGTACAAAAATGGAGTCACATTTTATCAATACATTTAGTGAATAACCACACTGTTTAAAACTGATTGTTTTCTATGCAACTATTTAAATATTTACAATATATAATTTTCAACCGAGGATAGCAAAACAGTTAATTATAAATTAAGAAAGTATATCGCTGGAGTTTATAAAGTACATTTCCTTCCACTGTGCCATGGTTTGCCATCTCCATTTTTTCTCTAAACAAAGCATGGCTGGTTACATGTTCTGAATTTACTTAGAATTTCGGGATTTTTTTTTCAAAATCAAGTAAACTAAATCAGAAAAAAAATCACACTATCCTTAAACTTATGAAAGAATATGAATAATGAACATGACAGTTTATAACACAAACCCATTTACTATAAAAATCGAGCAATATCTTTAGTATGTAATTTGGTTATTTTTGTAGTTAAGTACGGTTTCATTTCAAGTACAACGTTAATTCATCAAGTCCATTGAATAAAAGATAAGGCAGGGTGAGCAACTTGACAAAAAAAGGCAGGATGACGATTTATGTAAAAAATCAGGATAAACGAATAAATATAGTCAGGACCTAACAGACTGAAAAATAGAAAGACAGGATAGAGATAACAACTAAAAAAAATGCAGGACAAAATGTTTCATCCAAGTCCTTCACCCCCCAATCAAAATAAAATGGTAGCTCCCTTAATCCAGGACCAATTGAGAGGAGACAGTTGAATTAAATATTTCGACGTGACTGTTAAGATTAAAGTTTAAAATTTTATATGCACATGTATAAAAGCTAGAATTGCCATGGGATAATCAAGAACACAATCATGTTCGGGAATACGACGATGGAAGTTTTTAACGACCTTGACCGGCTACGTGAATACTGATCAGTCCATTCAGCTTTATAGTACGCGTGTTCTATTTTCGCAGGTGTGAGGTCGAAGGTTTGAATTGACCAATGAAAACGATCGTTCCTTAACGAGTTAATCTAATAAAGTTTGTTTGACTGATTATATGTTGCACGACCTTTCGCTAAGCTTGGCCGCAGTTCAGTGTAAGTATTCAATATAAATCAAAATACAAAGGTTATTCCTGATTAGTTTTTCGAATTATTTTATTTAGGCGTTGAGACCCTTTGGTGACCTCACAGTTTAAATGTCTATAATAAATACGTCGTGAGTTTTGGGCGTTACAGACGAACGTTCACCTAATCTGACCCAGTCAATGGGATATTTTAGCGCGCCAATCAATGGTCTCGGCTACACTGTTATGCACATGATTCTATTTTTATGTACAGCATCGTGCTATTTTTCTTGTGACGATTTATTTTATACTTTTCAAATATATACGTGTATTAATTGATTGATTGATTGATTGATTGATTTATTTATTGATTGATTCATTCATTCATTCATTCATTCATTGATTGTTAGTTTTTATGGTGGAGGAAGCCGGAGTACCAGGAGGGAACCATTAACCTTTGTAGGGAAAACTTACAATCCTAGTCAGACTCAATTAAGATTGGAGTCGAGCGCACCTGCCACGTGCGGGATTCGAACTCACAACATCATCGAACTCACAACCTCCGTGTTAACAGGGTAGTGATAAAGTAGTTTGACTAAGACCACACGGCTACCGGGCCCCTAATTTGGATAGAAACATAAGTTTGAATAGATTCCAAGTCGTTAAAAGAAATATTTGAAGATTATCTTTAATTTAGAAACGAATGAGGGAAAAATCATTGCAAAATTATAACAAACACTAAGAAACGTATGAAAGCACAACGAGACAAATAAAATGACATTAATAATTTCACTAGCCTAGATGTCTTGCGGCAAAGAAACTTTAACATCGCTCATTATAAAATAGAAAAAAAAATAAAATGAAAATAGAAGATTGCAAAGAAAAGCAAATTAAAGAGAAGAGAAAGAGAAAGCTAAAAAAAAACAGAAAAGAATATGTCAATATCGTTTATGTTTTTGATGCATGTTCTTCTTATGAGTTAAGAGGTAGGGACCA